TGTGCCTTAAACATTACCCCACATAAATCCTAAGGGCTGGGGGGCATGGGGGGGAGGGCGCAGCGCCTCCCCCCCAAAGAACACAGGAAGAACAGCGTTCTGGCTTTGATCCGTTTCGTTTCGCTTCTTTTCCTTTGTGCCTTGTTCTTGTTGTTCTCGTTGTTGTTCTTCCTTCTTATTTCTTGTTCTTGTGTCTGGTGTCGTCTGTCTTGTATTGTGCCTTAAACATTACCCCACATAAATTTCCTAATGCTGATGGGGGGCAATGGGGGAGGGGCGCAGCGCACCTCCCCCAAAGAGACACAGGGAAGAAACAGCGTTCTGGTTTTGATCCGTTTCCTCTGTTCTTGTCTTTGTTGCCGTTATTGGTTGTTCTCGTCGTGTGTTCTCCTCTTCTTCTGTGTTGTCTCGGTGTCGTCCGTTTTTTGTTCTTCCGACCTTTAACATTATTATTCCACATAAAGTAGTAAGGCTGTTGGGGGGGCATGGGGGAGGCGGACGACGCATCTCAACAGCTGTTTCGACTGCAGCAACCGCGCCCTCACCCCGATGACATGTCTTCAGCCGTTCCACAATTCACTTCAAATATAAATATTTATATATATAGAGAGAGACATACATATACATTGATTTTAGCTCTTTTTATCTATTTATGTATCTATATATTTTTGTTTTATGGATGTATACGTATCTGTTCATTTATATATGTGTATGTTTGAAATACACTATCCTATTATATCTCTATATTTACTGTATTGATGACTGTTCTATTAAGAATAAATCATACGCTTCTATTTCTCACCAGCAAGGATCAACCACTTTAGTGGCCAAAATTGATTTGAACCCTGTGTCCGAGGGAATGGTAAACAATATTGAACAGTGTAGGGATACCAGCACGCTCAGGCAATCAATCGAATCATCTGGCATGAAGCAAGATTTCTTCCCATTTGCTTTGCAACACACAAAATGTCCCCAATACTGATCAAGACAGATATCTTTCCTGTCTCTCCTCCAGAAAAGTTGCTTCTTTTTTGGGGTTCCGTCTGTGACTACTACCCAAAGCACAGGTAGCACGCTTACTTGCAGGAACATAGTCAATAACATAGTGCAATTTTCGTACTTGCGTCCCCTTACTGACGCGATAGAGACTTCACCTACGAATCCTATCTTCCAGTGCGACTCTGCAAACACAAGGGCCTTGATCCAAAGAAGAAGTGAAGCTGCGAAGCTTGAAGATTGCGATGCCTGCAGCCACACTGTGTGGAATAACCAGGCAATACATTTGCTGCATCGCTTTGGGCAAGGAACTTTGTAGTGGCCGACCGAAATAGAAACCAACAGCCGCCATTGTCAACGCATGTCCATGAATGCAAATCTAACTGGGCCGAAAACAAATGCAACAAAGACAGCAAGGGGACCACAAACCAGTAGTTTTTGCGGAGTAGGTTTAGGGTGCAGCGCCTCCCCCATGCCCCCCAACAGCCTTACGACATTTATGTGGGATAATTAATGTTAAAGGCGGAAAACAAAAACGACGACACCAGAGACAACAACAGAAAGAAGAAGGAAGAACAACGACGAGAACAACAATAACACGGCACAAAGGAAAAGAACAGAAAGGAAACGGATCAAAGCCAGAACGCTGTTCTTCCTGTGTTCTTTGGGGGGGAGGCGCTGCGCCCTCCCCCCCATGCCGCCCCACCAGCCTTAGGAAATTTATGTGGGGTAATGCTTAAGGCACAATACAAGACAGACGACGCCAGACACAAGAACACGAAGAAGAAGGAAGAACAACAACGAGAACAACAATAACAAGGCACAAAGGAAAAGAAGCGAAACGAAACGGATCAAAGCCAGAACGCTGTTCTTCCTGTGTTCTTTGGGGGGAGGCACTGCGCCCTCCCCCCCATGCCCCCCACCAGCCTTAGGAAATTTATGTGGGGTAATGTTTAAGGCACAATACAAGACAGACGACACCAGACACAAGAACAAGAAGAAGAAGGAAGAACAACAACGAGAACAAGAATAACAAGGCACAAAGGAAAAGAAGCGAAACGAAACGGATCAAAGCCAGAACGCTGTTCTTCCTGTGTTCTTTGGGGGGGAGGCGCTGCGCCCTCCCCCCCATGCCCCCCACCAGCCTTAGGAAATTTATGTGGGGTAATGTTTAAGGCACAATACAAGACAGACGACACCAGACACAAGAACAAGAAGAAGAAGGAAGAACAACAACGAGAACAACAAGAACAAGGCACAAAGGAAAAGAAGCGAAACGAAACGGATCAAAAGATCTCTCCCCTTGAAGGGGTGGAGGTGGGGGGGGGGTGGTGTACCCGTACGTTCGACACTTGGAGGCTATATCGCAAGCCAAGAGGCTATGGATCAATACTAATCAAAAGGCAGCGAAGCGAACCATAGGCGCAAAATGGACGCAACTGATTCCGCCTGCTTCAGGGCATATAATGGGCTTTCCAGAAAGACATGCCGATGGAGCCGTTAACTGCTGGAGCCGATGGAGCCGATGGAGCCGCTGGAGCCGCTGGAGCCGATGAGGCCGATGAGGCCGATGAGGCCAATGAAGCCGATGGAGCCGCTGGAGCCGATGGAGCCGCTGGAGCCGCTGGAGCCGATGAGGCCGATGAGGCCGAGGAGGCCGATGAGGCCGATGGAGCCGATGAGGCCGATGGAGCCGATGAGGCCGATGGCGCCGATGAGGCCGATGAGGCCGATGAGGCCGATGAGGCCGATGAGGCCGATGGAGCCGATGGAGCCGCTGGAGCCGATGGAGCCGCTGGAGCCGATGAGGCCGAGGAGGCCGATGAGGCCGATGGAGCCGATGGAGCCGATGGAGCCGCTGGAGCCGATGGAGCCGATGAGGCCGATGAGGCCGAGGAGGCCGATGAGGCCGATGGAGCCGATGAGGCCGATGGAGCCGATGAGGCCGATGGCGCCGATGAGGCCGATGAGGCCGATGAGGCCGATGAGGCCGATGAGGCCGATGGAGCCGATGGAGCCACTGGAGCCGATGGAGCCGCTGGAGCCGATGAGGCCGATGGAGCCGATGAGGCCGATGGAGCCGATGAGGCCGATGAGGCCGATGAGGCCGATGGAGCCGCTGAGGCCGATGAGGCCGATGGAGCCGATGAGGCCGATGAGGCCGATGAGGCCGATGGAGCTGCTGGAGCCGATGCGGCCGATGGAGCCGATGAGGCCGATGAGGCCGATGGAGCCGATGAGGCCGATGAGGCCGATGGAGGCTGATGAAGCCGATGGAGCCGATGAGGCCGATGCGGCCGATGAGGCCGATGAGGCCGATGGAGCCGATGAGGCCGATGAGGCCGATGAGGCCGATGGAGCCGCCGGAGCCGATGAGGCTGCTGGAGCCGCTGGCGCCGATGCGGCCGATGAGGCCGATGAGGCCGATGGAGCCGATGAGGCCGATGAGGCCGCTGGAGCCAATGAGGCCGATGAGGCCGCTGGAGCCGATGAGGCCGATGGAGCTGTTGGAAACGATCAGGCTGATGGAGCCGATGAGGCCGCTGGCCGGAGATAAATCCTACGCAGTATTGCCAATATAAAGGGAGTTGCAGGTTACAGCTACATGTATCGAGACACCTTAACCCATTCCCCCCTGCTTATACATGCACAAGAAGTGGTGCCGCAAAATCGACGCCAACCGTCAATGGCACGTGGTGTACCCCCCCCACCTTGGATGGGCACAGCTGGGGGGGGGTGGTGCACCCCCCCCAACCTTGGATGGGCACAGCTGGGGGGGGGTGGTGCATCTCCCATGGTCTGAAGGTAAGCTGGGGGTGGTGGATATTTAGGCTTTGAGGTAGGGGATGGTGCGTTGTGCAGGAAGATGATACTAGCAAGGCTGGAGGGGGGGGTGGTGCAGCCACTTCTAGCTTGAGCGGGCTTGGAGCAAGGGTTGGGGGGGGGGAGGTGCACCTCCCCCTAGCTTGAATGAAAATGAACGCCAAATGGAGAACTCTCCTATATATATATATATATACAGTGGAATGCTAAAGTCGTGCCTAAAATTTGGAAATCATCGTAGATAGCTGGGGAGCACTTGATTTGAAAAGTCGTGCCTTTTTAGTAAAACGCATAGGAATTGCAATGTTTTGTTGGATTTGGTCTTTGGAATAGTTTTTGTTAATAAATCTTGCGTTTAGGTTGTGTTTAGCATCAAGAGTACCTTTTCCATATTGTTAATAAATCTTGCGTTTAGGTTGTGTTTAGCATCAAGAGTACCTTTTCCATATTGCTAATAAATCTTGCGTTTAGGTTGTGTTTAGCATCAAGAGTAACCTTTTCCATACCAAGTCAAATTGGATGTGAGTATAGTGATGAGTTGGTGTTTCTATCTTTTTCTTTCCAGTGTGCTGCGGAAGCCATTTTCACTTTTCACTGCGTGCTCAACGCGGCATTGTGGCACTTCAGCGTGTTGCTTGAGATGGAGGTGAGAAGGGTCATTGTTGTGTCTTCGTGTCGGCTTTAGTTTCTTATGTGGTTCCGCAGGCGGGTGGGCAGAGAGCCTTTCTTGTTATTTTTTGACGTCGTTTGCTACGTCGTTTGGACGTCGTTCGGCACGTCGTGGTTTCAAAAATGGGAAACCTATAGGAGAGGTTGGTTGTTGTGAATCACGGATGGCAGAGCGAAAAGAGTCAGCAAAGCGAAAAAAGCCAGCGGACCGAAGCGGCAAGTATTTCTCAACCCCAGAAACATGAACGGTAGAATGCAACTGTAGACGGATTCTTGCGAACTTTTGATTTTCCCAAGTGTGGAAACATTCTTCTTATACATACGCGATTCCATGGTGTTTTAAGATTTGGGCATGACTTAGGCATGAGTTTCTTGAAACAGCGATTCCATGGTGATTTACTAGCAAGTTTTGACCCAGGCATGAGTTAGGCATGAGTTTGTCGTTTGACTGTATATTCATATATATGTAAATATATAGCTTGGATTTTCCATTGCCATGTTTGATTGGATGCCAGGCAGCTGAGCAAGACGACCCAGAAGCGGTCGGCAAAGACGGAGAGAAGGCGCACGGGACTGGAGAAGGTCATTCTAGGGATACAACCTAATTGCAACCTAGTTACAACACTTGGATACACTTGGACAATTACTCTTTAAATTATAAATTATAACTTAAGGATTTGAACATTTCCAAATTCTTGCGGTACATGTTTGTTGTCAAGGTCTAGAGCAGATATTTTTCATGGGTTTGTTTGAAATGAGGAGCACTCGGGCACACCACAGTGGCCATTTGAATAGAAGGATTCTGACAGACAAACGGGGTTGCTTGGGACTACCCCGGGTTTTCCAGCCAGGCCAAAAAGGCAGGTTTCCTTCTGGGCTGATTAAGGGGACAGGATTCTTGAGATGAGCTGATCCCGACTGAGATGATTGGACCGTTGATCCCACTAGATTTTACCAGCCTCGCCAGTCTATGGCAATAGGGGGGTGTTCTAAAATGGGGGTACCCCCAGTTCTCATCCCATTTTTGCAGGATTTTCCATGAAATAAACATAAATAAACCATCCCAGCTGCTCGCTTGGGGTACCCCCATTTTAGGAACCCCCAAAAAACACCCAAAAAAACACCCACCAGATGCTGTTCATGGTCGCAGGAACATGACGCCGCGGATCGCGTCACCACCCAGTGCCTTAAACGGCGTTTAAACGGCGTCCAGGCATCCCAAAGAACTGGGGATCCACTGGGATAATTGGGGATGGGGATGTAACATGCGGAAAAACCACGGTCCATTGGGGGATTTTTGTTCATAGCCACGGTGAAATTGGTTGAAGACTACGTAGCAATGTATTGCATCAGTTCCAATTTTTGTCGGAGATGTGCACGAAACTCACGAAACACTGTAAAGCGATAGGGCCCGATAGGGCCCTCCCCAAAGGCGATAACCTGGGACCATACACGACAGTCCATTAAACTTGGCGTAAACCAAGCAAATACTGTTGTGCACATTCACAGAACGGGCAAAACCGATGAGGGAAATTCAACCTGTGGTGCCCTGTTTCCTGCAGTTACGATAGCATTTGGCATCCAACTTGCTCACTCTCTTTCTTCCTCTGTCGTTTTGTGGCAAATTTCCTTCGAACAATGTCAGATGTTATAGATGTTGGAGGGGTTATTTAGCGATAACCTTAGCGATAACTTCGCGATAACCATTTGTTGCACTCGGTTTCCTCAGGTTCCTGGCCAAGCCATAGACAGAGCCATTTCCACTTTAGAAAGGAAATGAAAGGACATGAATGCAAAATGAAAGGAACATGCGTGCAAATGAAAGGAAGATGAGAGGACATGAATGCACATTGGAATGAAAATGGAAGGAAGATGAAACCAAAAGGAATGGAAATGAATACCAATGAAAGGAACATGAAAGGAAAATGCAAGGAAACGAATGCACAATGAAAGGAAGATGCAAATGAAAGGAAAATGAAGGACAATGCATGCGAATGAATGCAACACGAAAGGATCATGAAGTGTTGCCGAAGCACCTGAAGCATCCTGAAACCAACAAAACAACTGCTCGATCCATTTCCGAGCCTGTTTAGGAATGGATTTTGGCTTCATGTTGGATCTCGAACATGCTGATTTCCACAAAACTCTGGAAAGCGATAGGGCCCCCCAAAAAGCGATAACCATAACAATAGCAAGTACTCAGATGTAAAGCATACTGGTAGGAATTTTTAAGTTCACATGATATATAATTATATAATTATATATATATGATATACCATGACCAATGGGCCTCTGCCCCTGCCCATAAAGAATGTTCACTCAGTCCTGTCAGGTCAATTTTTCACCGTAAAAGCTGATTCTAAAGGGGGTTTTCCACTGCCACAACTGAGCAGTGGTTGCTAAACCCCTGTTGGTTGATGATTATGTAGGGCTATTGTACTATATTATTACTAATAACATCTAATAACTATATATTATAGATATTGGGGATCATCACAGTCCATTATGGAACTGAATGTTACCGATGTTTCATTTAATGGCTGGACTCGACTTTATTTTGGGACTTTTTGTCTCGCATTTTCTGGCTATTTCTTTGGGTAGCGACCCAGAGTCGCACGAGAAAACATTCATGACTCTTTCGGCGGTCCTGTGTTGGATGTTTTGTTTGTTGGATATTCCGTTACATAAAATGATATTTCATGAATTTTCATGATATCTAATGAATCTAATGTTTTACTCAAGTCTGGTTTCACAGTTTAAGCATAAATGAGAGCTGCGCAAGGTCCCATCGTTCTCATTCCGTTTCCTGAGGCCCAGTAACATGGAGGTCTTGAGTGAAACCACCTGGGCGGAAAAACTGAGTTTGGTGGTGGGAGGCGTGGGGCCAGCGTTGGTGGTGAATGGAAGGGCGATTCGAAGGAGCTATGGCTGGTATCATCTGGTATCGATTTTCCATGATTTTCCCAAAAAGTTGGAAGCCAGTTGCAGCTACGAATTGAGCTTCGCATAGGATAGGCCGCCTGTGCCAAAATTGATCCAGGCATTTTGGCGCTGGCACAGGGTGTTTCGACCCCCTTGATCGCTGTGTTCACGGCAGACGCGTGGTTGCAAGAAAAGTTAAGAAGACCAATCACTTATCATCTCCTTATCATCTCCCGTCCACAAATGCAGCGTAGCAACGAAAAATCCTCCATTTCCAGAGGGAAACTTGATCTTGAAATGCGGCACTTTCCACTGCCGTGTCAGTTTACCAACCGGTAACCAGGTCTCTTGCATATCACGCTCCAATGAACAAGGTGTGGAACAACCACCATTAATAGTGGATCATTTCTTTCGGAACCACGTGATCCAAGTGTGTTCCGTAAACCCCGGCATTCCAAGTTTTCCCCAAGGCTCTTTGTTGAGTTGCCCACAGCTCAGGACAGCATTGGTTTGTTAACCACTTCGGATCCATCCAATCTGCTGGAGACGATGACGCCCGTATTGTGGAAGATCGGCCCCTTGCCATGGAAGGACACAATGGAGCTATAGCAGCTATGGATGATCCAACAGAGGCATCCACATTGAACAATAACTCCCTGGGTTCTCGGATTTATGATCATTTCACTTTGGGGCCCTTGGGGCTTGCCCTGAAACATCCCAAAACGGGCTACTTGTCACAGATGTTGTCAATTTTTTGAGACATGTCTACTGTTCAAATGCAAGGTTCATCTAGTGCTTGTTCGACATCCCACTATGGGCATCAACCCCCACTTGGCCGATATCCTTTGAGCTTTCGACTGGGTTGAAAGGACTGGGTTGAAAGCAGCAAGCTGCTTTGTTCAACTACCAGGCGGTAGCTACTGAAGGCCACCCAGATCTCCTAGGTATCCTGGCAGTGGCTCAATTCCTGCTAGCCTGGTGGTGGCAGTGGTGCATGCATTGGTCTGCAGCCAAACAGGCGCGGTGTGGACGTAGACGGCCCCTGGAACCATGAGTGCCAGGTGGATAGGATGAATAGGTCAGCCTGTAGGACAGGCACACAGATATGTATAAGTGGTGCCATATATATATATATATATATTTATTTATTTATTTTAATATAATATATATATATATAAAATGTTTTTTTAACTGTATATATATTGTGTGTATTTTATATATATATATAACAACTGGTATAATTATCATTTTGAATTAGATGGAATATGGAATTCTTCAAACATATTCAAAGTTTAGTGATTATATAGTTTTTAACGTCCCTTTTCTATCTTCTCCAGGATGACTATACATGCAAGCCAATTGACCTTATTTGCGGGCATTTGACCCATAAAATGCAGGGTTAATCATCCAACACCGGGCCAGTGGGGTTCTAGCTATGCATATATGATTATATTGTGTTTGTCACAACTGGCTGGTGGTTTTGACTCTTGATTTGTTCATGAATTTTCAACCTTATTTTCATTCATGGATAAATGGATAATGGTCTCCACTGAATATTTTTTTGTGACGGTTTGAAGCCAGCTGCCAGGTAATGTACAGTCTATGGATGTCTTTGGTATATTATATTGTATTCATTGATTGCCCATAATCAAAAGCACGAGAAGGCATCTATGCTAAAGATGAAGATGACGCATGCCACCTGGATCTACTTGACCAATTTTTCTATACTCCTCCGGTGATCAAATGTGGCAATGCGAAATTTCCTATGAATGGTGCTTTTAATGGGAACATCATCTAGAAGTTAGGGATTTTCAATTGCTATGTTTGATCACCAGAGAGTAACTGGTAACGTTTGAAGATGATGACGCTTATGGCTCAGGCCAGCCGATGGCACATCAAGTTCATCAAGCAGTTGATGACCTTGGCCCCCTGACATGGGCTGGGGATGGGGCCCAAAAAAGTCACCTTTGGGGGAGCAGTTGGGATGGGCTTTGATGGGTCACCAGACCCAATCATCAGCTATTGATGAGTTCATGCTTGGAAGCCACAGGAGAACCTGAGTTGAGGAGCTTAATGGAGCTTACCATGCTCGTTCGCCTTAGTCGGCCGCACCCGCCCCTGAGGATGTTCCTTGGTACGACGCGAATGATTCTGCAGGTCCGGGCCGCTGAAGCCCGAGGATGGCAGCTGATCAATGGGAGATGTTCCAAACTGGACCATTTGAAGTGAACCATGATGAATATTGATGAATATTGATGAATACCCTCTGGTAATTTAACATAGCTATTGAACATGACAATTTATAGTGGATTTACCCATTAAAAATTGTTATTTTCCATAGTTATGTTAGTTTACCAGAGGGTAAATCATATAAATCACTGGTTTTTCCCAAGGGCACCCCAGTTTTTGAAGGAGCGCCGAGACTCAATGATGGCCTTGTGGTCTTCTTCGATTGGGGCCACTGCGGTGGACCAGTATGTTGACCCGTAAAATCACAAGCCCCCCCTGGGCACATTGGTGCAGACTCCATTTTTTGAAACCCAGGACTCATAATACTCCAGTTTATCAAGATTACCACTTGGAATTGTGGAATTTGTATGAGCTATCACTCGTTTGGGCCACCCCAACTAGTTTAGCACAGTTCCAAGGGTTTTTTTTTGTTCCGAAAATCTGCAGGAACTCCATTACGCCGAAATCATCTATAAATGGGCGATGGGTCCGTAGCTGTGTTACATAACCAGAGGGTGCGAATTTTGGTTGTTTGGAAGTTAAACTCCAACATGTTTCGCGTGTTCACACATCGCCCTGTTGAGCTTTCGCAGGTTTAGCTGCCCGATTGCAGGCGGACATTGGAGCTGCTTGGACATGTCATTAGTATTCATTAGCCATCAATATTATTGATTATATATATATTAATATAGTTTCTTGATGTCTATTGACACGTATTGACAGTATATTATTAGTAGTGCATTGCGAATATTCTGTATTATTAGCATATATTTCCATATATTACTATATATTACTGGTAGATATTATCAGCAGTATTGGTAGTAAGTAAGAATACGTTTGATCTTGCTACCATTACCAGCATGGTTATCGTTTGTTTGTGGCCGAATCTTGAAGTCATATCTGGAAACAAAGGGTGTGGAAACAAATGGCGTGCCGAGTTGTTCTCCTTTGGTCAGAAGTCGACGGTAATAAACACGACTTGCTAACCTCAGAAATCCCAGAATTGGATGCATAAAATCCCAGAAGACACCCTTCCATACGATTTCCTGCAAAGTTTCCCATGCTCTTTATTCCGTCAAGGGAGCATCCTTAAGTGCTGGACCTGAGGCTCTCTATATTTTCATGTCTGCTGGTTTGGGTCACTTGGCGCAAGCGACTCCGGCATCATTGGTCCAAGATTCGTATCCAAGAGGCTAAGCTCAGTCACGGCTAGGTGGTTTTCTATGCCTGGGGGGGACAGGATATGGATCCATGTTGATCCCATCGGCTGATTTTTCCTGAGTAGCTCAACCACCATCCGCCAAGCAGTTTTTGTTGTAGTGATATGTTAAGACTGGCTGTTAGATCTGGCTGTCAGATCTGTCAGAGTTTGCCACTGAGGCTTCCTCATCAGCTGTGCGGGACAGTTTTTCGCGGGCATCACTTTAGTTGGGATGCCCAGATGGCAGCGGAGCTGCTCGCGATGTTCGCTCTTGATGAAAGTCCCAGTTTCCAAATAAGTACTCCGTAAGAGGGGGTCCCCCAACTAGTTCCAGTTTGAAATGGCACTTCCCGAAATAAAAGACTGTTGAACCCAATGGTGCCCAGTGCCTGCATGTATTTCAAGATTTCGCTTGTAATAGTGACAAGATGCTGAAAGTATATGAAAAGTATGAAACATCCAACCTTTTGGTGCATCCAATGGCAAATGGCATGGTTCCCATTGCCCGTATTGCTGAGGCTTTTGTAAAGAGCTGGCAGCTGTCCTTAGCAGCCTGTGCCGTGACGCCATTCTTGGTCTTCGCGGGACATCGCTTGGGGAAGGACAGCTTTTGACAATAGGGCAGCCCCCCGCTCCACCACAACGTGTACGAAGAAGCGTTTCATATCTTCCACACTCAATGATGAACCTACCATTTGGGGGTTAATCATGTTTTCCCCACCCAGTGGGGATGGTTTATGGCAGGAGATCGAGGAACAGTACTCCCAGCAAGCGGAAGACTTCCAACGAGCGTGACGTGGTTCTTTCGTTGGGGCGGCTCATTGTCGCCCCAGGGGGACTCTTTTGGGATGATGGTTGAACATCTCACTTACGTAATCAGTCAACCTGGTTTTAAGATGAAGATCTTTGCTAAAACTGGACCCCCCCACCCATTTTCCAGTTTTTTGCCCGCAGCCACATGGGTTTGAAATCCAATATATCTCTATTTTTTGGACAATTGCAATGGCGCTTTACAAATTACATAGGGTGACATGTGATATATGTGTGATATGATGTGACATGCCTCCAAACTATCCTCTACTAAAACGAACAAATCCATGGCAAACTCCCTCACCATCGTCCCCAAATAAGAAGTGGATCTATCCTAGCTTTTAATCAGTTGGCTTAAGCCGTTTTTTTTTGCGTCAGACTCCCCTTGTGGCTGGTTGCTTCTACTTTCAATCATTTCTTGCTCAAATAGTGTGTATTCGGACAAACCCTACTGCCAAACCCATATTATGCTGAAACAGTAAGGAATCATCAGCTTAAGTCGTGTTAACCATCATGTTTGAAATCGCCATAACTTAGGGCTATTTACGGGGGAATCCCCCATGTTTTTGTGGTTCAACCCACTATCTTGGTTCATTTTTGCCCCCAAGCTTACCACTTTTGGCAGGCTGCATTCCGAAAAAACTTGCAATTTCAGGTATATTTTCGAAGTGAACCCCCCAAAATCATCCTGAATCGCCCACTTCGTCAGAAAAGTCGCCTCCCATCCCGAGGTCCACGGTGGCGGAGGAGTCGCTGATGGCCATCCGTACCGTGGTGGCCTTCGGTGGCGAAGCCAGCGCCATGCGGCGCTTCGAGCGGGAGCTCACTAGGGCCAAGATGGGCGGCATTCGCGCCTCGGGCCATGGATGGGGTGGGGGTGGGGATGGGGTCCCATGGTTTATCAAGGTGTACTACCTGATTTCCTTAAACATATTGAGGTTTTGGGGTACCTTTGGAATATGAATGGAATATGAATGTGTACTTGGTGGCACTTATGTAAGGTACTAAAACATACTAAAGCCATATAAGTTACCAGTAGTACCGCACAAGGCGGTGGCGGAAGTTTCAGAATAGGAAACCTATAGGAGACGTCGGTTGTTGTGAATCACGGATGGCAGAGCGAATCCACTGATTGACCGAAAGGTGGTTGGAGTTGTGTTTGCTGGAGTGGTTGCAATGGTTGCAGTGGTCACCTCACCCACAAACTGCTGGATGTAGTGTGATGTACTGCAACTGTAGTTGTAGTTGTAGCGTAGTGGAGTTGTAGTTGTGGTTTAATGTAATTAGTGTAGTGTTGTTGCAGTCATATAGTTGTAGCTGTAGTTGTTTTGTAGTTGTAGTTGTTGTGTAGTTGTAGTTGTAGTTGTAGTTGTTGTAGTTGTAGTTGTAGTTGTTGTAGTTGTAGCTGTAGTTGTTGTGTAGTTGTAGTTGTTGTGTAGTGTAGTTGTAGTTGTTGTGTAGTGTAGTTGTAGTTGTTGTGTAGTGTAGTTGTAGTTGTAGTAGTAGTAGTTGTTGTTGTTGCTGTTGTTGTAGTTGTAGTTGTAGTTGTAGTAGTTGTTGTTGTAGTAGTAGTAGTAGTTGTTGTTGTTGTAGCTGTAGTTGTTGGAGTTCTATTTGTAGTTGTAGTTGTTGTGAAGTTGTATTTGTAGTTGTAGATTGTAGTTGTAGTTGTAGTTGTGCTGTTGTCGTCGAAGTTAGGGTAGTTAAGTTAGTGAAGTTAGTTCAGTTAGTCAAGTTAGTTAATTAAGTTAATCAGTATCTACTTTTTCGACATCTTAATGTCAAAAAAGGCTCAAAACCCTCAGTTTTTTACACTTTTGACTTCGAAATGTGCTTCGCGCCACAACAGCGTGCACTTTTTCAACATCCGAACCTCCAAAAGTGGCGCGAACATGTGGTGTTTTGTACATTTTGACTTCGAAATGTGCTTCGCGCCACAACGGCGTGCACTTTTTCGACATCTCAACTTCCAAAAGTGGTCCGAACCTGGTGTGTTTTGTACATTTTGACTTGGAAATGTGCTTCGCGCCACACCGGCGTGCACTTTTTCGACATCTCAACTTCCAAAAGTGGTCCGAACCTGGTGTGTTTTGTACATTTTGACTTGGAAATGTGCTTCGCGCCACAACGGCGTGCACTTTTTCGACATCTCAACTTCCAAAAGTGGTCCGACATTGGTGTGTTTTGTGCATTTTGACTTCAAAATGTGCTTCGCGCCACAACGGCGTGCACTTTTTCGACATCTCAACTTCCAAAAGTGGTCCGCTCCTCTAGTGTTTTGTCCATTTTGACTTGGGAATGTGCTTCGCGCCACAACGGCGTGCACTTTTTCATGTCTCATCTGGCCAGCTGGCTCCGCACCCGCCGCTTTAGCGAGCCTACTTTTCGACCCTCCAGAGCCGCAAATCATTGGAAAAACACAGTGAATCGCGACTTTCCTATCTTTTCGCGCATCTACCTCTTCTTTCTTCTGATCTTTTCTCTTCTGACTCTTCTCACCTCTGCTTTTCAACTGTCCATATTGTCGGAAGTTTCACTTCCAAACTTCCTTCGATTATAATGGAATATTAATTACATATTCATGTGTGAAGAATTCACTATAAATCTGAGTTCTACAATGAGGGAGAAATTGCATACAAATAGAAGAATCGGAATATGAATGGAATACTAGTCCCTTCCCCCGTTCCCCCTACATCAATGATTCCATAAACAATATCAATGGGTATATAGGATATATTGGGATATATCTCGCATGTATATATATATATATATATGTGTGTGTGTGTATGACATAGAAAAATCCCATCCCCTATTCATATTCAACACCCCGTGAAACCATGGTTGAATTACAATGACCTCACCACGTGACGTCACTGGAATGATGGTTCGGATTCGGAGAATCATCATCCCCGAATGGCCGCACATTTCAACTATATATTTGTTCAGGTTAGCGAATTATTATATATACCCTCTGGTAAACTAACATAACTATGGAAGATCACAATTTTCAATTGGTAAATCCACTATAAATGGCAATTTTCAATAGCTATGTTAAATTACCGGAGGGTAATTCGGCCAGATTACATATGAGGTACTCAAACCAAGAATGAGGGAGAACTGGTATATTCGTGGGATACAAATGCACTATCAATGGAAGATAAATGGAATATCAACACCACCAGTAGCCACAACTGGAATATTCATGGCATGTTGATTTATATTTAGGGGCACTCATGTATGACTGGAATCTTAATGACATATTCATGGAATCATCCTTCATTTAATTAACCATAATTATTCAACCAACAAAAATGGTGGGAATCATATTGAATGGGTGCAGGACCCAACTGAATGTGCATAATTGCTACCGGAAATCCCCGAACTAAATTTTAAATAGAGGTTCCACTGGAAAAGTCAGCTCACATGGGTTATTTTCCATTGCCACTGCCGGAGGGTACCAATCTTCTCGCAGTTTTTGTTTGTGTTTTCTTCGAACCTTGATAATGTCATTTCATGATTGAGTGGCCGAAGGGAATCATAATAATTATATGGAGATAGACCATGAGGTTTTTGTTTTTTGTGAAGAGTTTGTTGGAAGATTCATGTTGTGGAGTTTTTCTCTTAAAAACATATTATGGTCAATTTGATTTATGTTTGTGGTGGAACATGGGCAAATTCGCAGAGTTTGAACCTCAGTATTTTTTAAAACCCAATTTCATACCAAAAGAGACTCAATAGAGAATATCCAACATTGGAACACGATCCATACCTATACCATTCAAGGTGCTGACATGTATGATAATATATATATATACATATGCAGACACATGCACACACACACATATATATATATATTATACAGATACATACAATATATATATATATATATATACGTATACAAGTATATTTTAGCTGCACAAATGGTTTGTGCACTACATGGCACCGAGGATCGGGTGTGAAGATTGGGATCGCCTGGGGGGGCTTGCAGCTGAGACGAAGTTGTGCAGGGGACCAGTGGTGAGGGTTTTCTCGTCCTGGAACTCCAAAATGGATGGTTTACAATGGAAAATCCGAAAACAATGATGATTTTGGGGTACCCCCATTTTTGAAACCACCATTTAGTATTGGGATTGTATACAAAAACTGCAAAGGTATCCTCTGGTAATTTAACATAGCTATGGAATGCGATGGAACATCATCATTTTTTGATAGTTAAATCATCCACTATAAATGGGCAATGTTCAACAGCTACTTGTATTGTGAGATTACAAGAAGGTATATCCCTAGCATAGTTCCAATATTGTTGGTGTTGTACCCCACGTGCTACATAGGACTCTTGATATAGGTTTGCCATGTCTACCCTTCGGTAACCTAACATAGCTATGATATGGTATAGATGGCCTATTTAGTTCGAACATTTACCTGTGTTCGCAGAATCGGATCATAGGAAAAACGACAAGAAGGCCCAATCGATTTACTGTAGTAGTAATTTCCTGCCAAGATTTTCCCTTCAACAATCTATTGAGATGTGGGATGGGGATTGGCATATTTCGGTATCAGGATGAGATACTGTCCTGAACCAAAAGGAAGACCATCAAGATATGGGTCAATTTCAGGCCCTTAGGCCCAGTGATCAAAAAAAACCCTTCAATTTTTTTTTTGCAATTTTCATGATGGCCAGTGGCAAATAGTGATCTATAACTTGAAGGGGGTGTTTAGTAAGTGCTGTGAAGAACTAGAAGTCGGCTGGGTCATAGTTGCCTGGTCACAATCCTCAACTCCAACTGTAGGTAAACATGCAATACATTCCAGAATTCATTCACGGGAAAATGAGAAAAGGCAGCCCCTAATCTAGCCTACTACGGTTCCTTGCAGGAGTGGGCAACAGGACAGCCAAAAGAAAAGGTTTGCAATTGAAAATGTGACCCGCACGAATGGAAAAATAGAGTGATAACATGTTTTTTGGACATTTTCTCCGGGGTTTCGATCTCTGTGCCAGCCTTAGACTCCTCCTTTCTTTAGACAATATGTTTTGGTCAGAACGGCATAGCTCAGTGTTGCGCTACTTTTGGCCGAGTGTGAGGCACCCAAGAGGTGCAGCAGCTATGTGCAAATTGAACAAAATCTCAACCACTTGATTATCAGATGCCCTATTTCGCATATAATATTATATAATTATCAGATGCCCTATTTTGATCTATTTTGCACACACCTAATTAATTGGGTAAGAACGGTAAGAGCTACAGAAGCTCCCAGCGTGCATTTTGCTAGGGTTCCAGGGTTCCTGAGAGGCTTCAACTCTCGTTTGCCCAATCTTGGCCCAACCTTACCTTCTGGTAAACCGACATAGATGTGGAAAACCCATGGTTTCCCTAAGAAATTGATCTCCAATTTCTGGCTTTTCCACATCGATGTTAGTTTGCAGGATGCTTAATTGAGGAATTTCGCCTACAACGTGCTCTATGCTTTGACACTCTGGCTGGGTGGTCACGTGCTGATGAAGGAGGGCGACTCTTGTCGTTGCGGATCTGGACGGGGCCCCTGTAGGAACCGCCCAGTTCTGCATGGGTTCTGCTGGTTTCATGGTTTGTAATTTTCTACCATGACTCAGGATATATAATTATTATTATTTATTATTATTGTTAGTATTGTTATTAGTGTTGCTATTACTAGTACTATTATTATTACTATTGCTATTGCTACTTTTAGTATTTTTATTATTATCATTATTATTATACACATATATATATATAGACAGAGAGACGGTATGATTTCCAGTTGGCTTTCATTTTTTTGGGGAGGGATGATGATGATGATGATGATGATATCTTAGAAACATTTCTTTTGTTTTTTTCAAAAAACAAACACGCAAATAATCACAAAGTTGGAACGATTAATATGTCCACGATCTTAGTAGAATTACTGACTGTTCTATTTTTTTGGTTTTCATTTTCGGCCTTTCGCTTTCAAGTGGATGGAATCATGGATGAATAGGGGCGATTTGTGGCCCCCCTCCAAAAATCTACGGCTGCGGGAATCACATCGAACTTATGTGCTGCAGGGCCGCAGGGCTGCGCCCCTTCTGAGGCGCCCTTGGAGGAGTCCAGAAATGTGGTGGTGGTGATGATCGCACTGATAGCTCCTCGCAGTGGATCGGGGTGGAATTCTGGTGGAAGATTGATTGGGCCTGCCTTGATCCAAGTGATTTGAGGAACGTTTGGGTCACCTGGAATTGGCCGTCCCGTATCGATCAATCAATCTATCTCTATCTTTAGTATATATACTGTATATATATATATACACATCGTATCCGTTTTTTTTCTCCAAATGATCTTATATTTCTGTTTTTGCCTCAATGGTCATGGTACATAAATCCAATGTAATTTGCCGCTGAGCCAGGGTTTCTCTCAGGTTGGCGTCTCCGGCATCAGCATGTTCAGCGGACAAGCACCTGTCCTGGCTCGGGCCATCGCATCTGCCAAGGGGATGAAGAAGGCACCGGTGACGTAAACATTGAAGGGTCAGGTATGGGGAAGCCAAGTAATATTGGTGTGTGTGTGTGTAACTTCGAACCTCCCCAGTTTGGATTTAACCTCAGAACTCACAACCAGACCAGTGTGTGTTTGTGTGTGTTTGTGGACTTATCTGGAATTAAAAACCATCCATGAAGCATAGCAACTATTATAAATCATCCTGGAAATATATAGGTAGGTAAAGGGTAAAGCCTATATAGCCGATACAGCCAAGAATAAACCCCAATTGGGAATGGTTTATGACTGGGTCTGCCACATCACCAAAATGAGGACTTGGATGGATTTAGGGATTTAAGGTTCGGTGGGGATGTGTAGGAGCCTGGAGGCGTTTTTGTGGGTAGTCACCATTTTGTTCAACTGGGACTTCATGGAATGGGGAGATCATCTGGATAAACTGCAACGACATCACTGGTAGGACGTCATTTGAAGAATGGCAATGGGATTGGGTAGGCACATGTAGGCACCATAAAATGTCCAAACTTGAGCTAGATATCACAACATATCATAATCCACTATAATCCACTTAGATTTGGGATGCACCCCAGTGGGAATGATTATGATCTACTAATTGGAACCCACCCCCACGTTGGAGAAGCCATGGCTGGGTTTGGTTGCGGAAATGATGGGTAAACTCTTACTTGACCTAATCTTGAGAGAGAAAGAGAGAGAGAGAGAGAGACATTACAGACACAACGTTTCAACACTTCCCTGGAGTTTTCTCACAAGGCCGTCCTGAACGCAACCGTGTCGGCTGGATTCGTCTCAGGTGATCAATTGCAGGGCACATGACATCGAACCTGAAGGTTTTGCGCTGCCGCCTCTGCCGGAGGAACTTCAGGCGGGGATTGAGTTGTGGGTGGAGGGTGGTGAATCACTGTTAGGTTAAAGGAAAAAAACTGGATTTGTGTGTGCGTGTGTGTCCAGCATTGTTTCCTCCTAGGTTGTTTGAGTATGGACTTTCATTGGTTGAATGAAGAAACTCCCACAATTTGCGCTCGTTGATTGCCAATTCACCTTGCTTTCAAGTCCCATGGTTGTCAAATCCAAGTTAGCTGTTGCTGTAGTTCCTGTTGTTGTTGCCCTAGCACATTTTTGGTTGGTATTTAAGCCATTTAAGCGTTAACCTCCCCATTTTGGTCTCGGGATGTCTCTAGCATGATGCCAGCTCCGCTCGCTCCGCTCGAGGTCATTGAGAGCGTGGAGTTCAAATCTGTTTGCTTCAGGCCCGGCCGACAATTGGTTGGCCCTCGAGGTACCCGATAATTTTTTGCTGATTGCTATGGGATGTAATGCAAGATGACATAGGAAGACCCTTCAAACTGGATTCCATGGATCTTGTCTAAGTCACCTTGGTGTCGGCCAGCGTTGAGGTATCCCATGCGGCCCGACCAGCCAGTGTTGAAGAATTTGAGTTTTGAAGTGAAAAAGGGACAGAAGCAACTCGGCAGGAAAGGTCTCAGGGCTGCCAGAGGCATGGTGGCCAGGGTACCCCCCAAACACATTATTAGCCATTGTTTGAAGAGGGTACCCCGGTACCCCCAAATTCACCTGGATTATCATGTTACATAATTTTTCGTATTATGAATGCCATAGACCAAGGGGATTACCACAACCCAACTACTCTCAGGATCGCCTTGGTGGGAGAGAGCGGTTGTGGCAACTTGGCACGCACCATATTCCGTTTGTCAAAGGGATGCAACATAGTAAGAGTGATAGTGATTATAGCGCTAGTACACTTGCTAAAACACAATCATCATCACCATCACCATCACCATCACCACAATAATCATTCCAGTGATTCCCAATGTTTCTTTGCAGTTCCCCTCCAAGAGCCACTGAGGCAAGAGTACGACTATTCAGCTACTGGAGCGTTTCTATGACCCTGAAGCAGGAACTGCACGTTGCCACGCTCAAAACTGGTTGAAGTCTAAGGATGTCATCGCGATGTTACCAGAAATGATGCTTAATATATACTACTATAGCCGACCGGCAGTTAGAATATGATCCAAAGGAATCCATGGATATGGATTGACGTCCAGATAATAGCATCCATACCAATTTCGTCCCCGGGGAAAATGCAGTTAGAATTCCAAAAATACAACAATAGTTAGAATATAAATAAGCAACATATATATATATATATGTATGTATATATATATATATTGTACAGTATAGGATTATAGACAAAATGAATGAACATTTTAGCATCGGCCGGTATGTGTCAGAAACCTCATGCATTTGAAGGTTAGTTTGTACAATATCACTAGTTTGCAATGTGGCTGGGAGAAACTGATGCAGATAGAATATAGAAACTAACCATAAGAAACATCTATCAGTCTCAATGCTTTGCAGATAAACAACTATATGAACAATTATGATAAACGACCAATATATAACAAATGTACTTTCCGAAGAAAAAAACACCTTTGGATGCAACCCATCCATCAACACGTGTGCACTTTCGGGTGTGTGCGCATGATGCAACGCACAGTACAATACGGGTAACGCGCACACACAGAGTAACCTGATACATATGAACAATAGTTTGTCCAATATCACTGGTTTGCACGAAGGTTGGACGAAAGTCATGCAGTTAGAATATGGGAATGAATGCAGGTTCGCAGTTCGCACCATCTCACTGCCATACTTCAAGCAGGCAATTGCAACCAAACGACCTGACAGTATACAAACTGAGACAATGCAACCCATGTGGTGCAACCCAAACATCAACACGTATTTGTTCAATACCACTGGTTTGCACGAAGGTTGGAAAAAAAACATGCACTTAGAATATGGGAAGTAATGCAGGTGCGCACCATCTCACAGCTTTATTTTTAAGCAGGCAGTTACAACCAAGCAACCTGCCAGTATGCAAATTGTATCAAATTGCAACTATGCAACCCATGTGGTCCAGCCCAAACATACACACTAGTTTGTCCAATGCCATTAGTTTGCAAAAGGTTGGAAGACAATCATGCAGGTGGAATGCGGGTAATAATGGAGGTTCATACCATTTCACTGCTATACTTCAAGCAGGCAGATACAACGAAACAACCTACCGCTATTCAAACTGTGACAATGCAACCCATGTGGTGTAACCCAAACATCAACACGTATTTGTTCAGTACCACTGGTTTGCACGAAGGTTGGAAGAAAATTCATGCAGTTAGAATATGGGAATGAATGCAGGTGCGCACCATCTCACAGCTTTTTTTTTAAGCAGGCAGTTACAACCAAACAACCTGCCAGTATGCAAATTGTATCCAGTTGTGACAATTCAACCCATGTGGTCCAACCCAAACATACACACTAGTTTGTCCAATACCATTAGGTTGCAAAAGGTTGGAAGACAATCATGCAGGTGGAATGCGGGTAATTATGTGGTTCATACCATTTAACTGCTATACTTCAAGCAGGCAGATACAACGAAACAACCTACCGCTATTCAAACTGTGACAATGCAACCCATGTGGTGTAACCCAAACATCAACACGTATTTGTTCAGTACCACTGGTTTGCACGAAGGTTGGAAGAAAATTCATGCAGTTAGAATATGGGAATGAATGCAGATGCGCACCATCTCACAGCTTTTTTTTTAAGCAGGCAGTTACAACCAAACAACCTGCCAGTATGCAAATTGTATCAAATTGCGACAATGCAACCCATGTGGTCCAACCCAAACATACACACTAGTTTGTCCAATACCATTAGTTTGCAAAAGGTGGGAAGACAATCATGCAGGTGGAATGCGGGTAATAATGGAGGTTCATACCATTTCACTGCTATACTTCAAGCAGGCAGATACAACGAAACAACCTACCGCTATTCAAACTGTGACAATGCAACCCATGCGGTGTAACCCAAACATCAACACGTATTTGTTTAATAGCACTGGTTTGCACGAAGGTTGGAAGAAGTTCAATGCAACCCATGTGGTCCAACCCAAACATACACACTAGTCTGTCCAATACTACGGGTTTGCATCAAGGTTGGAAGAAAGTCATGCAGTTAGAATATGGGAATTGATGCAGGTTCGCTCCATCTCACTGCTATACTTTAAGCAGGCATTTGCAACCAAACAACCTGACAGTATACAAACTGTGACAATGCAACCCATGTGGTGAAGAATATGGGAATTGATGCCCAAACATCAACATTTGCTTGTCCAATACTACTACGGGTTTGCATCAAGGTTGGAAGAAAGTCATGCAGTTAGAATATGGGAATTGATGCAGGTTCGCTCCATCTCACTGCCATACTTCAAGCAGCCAATTGCAACCAAACAACCTGACAGTATACAAACTGAGACAATGCAACCCATGTGGTGCAACCCAAACATCAGCACGTATTTGTTCAATACCACTGGTTTGCACGAAGGTTGGGAGAAAAACGTGCAATTGGAATATGGGAATGAATGCAGGTTCGCACCATCTCACAACTTTATTTCTAAGCAAGCAATTTCAACCAAACAACCTGCCAGTATACAAGTTGTGCGAAACTGTGCCAACGCAACCCATGTGGAGCAACCCAAATATCAACATTGCTTGTCCAATACTACGGGTTTGCATCAAGGTTGGAAGAAAGTCATGCAGTTAGAATATGGGAATTGATGCAGGTTCGCTCCATCTCACTGCTATACTTTAAGCTTGCAATGCCATACTTCAAGCAGGCAATTGCAACCAAACAACCTGACAGCATACAAACTGAGACAATGAAACCCATGTGGTGCAACCCAAACATCAGCACGTATTTGTTCAATACCACTGGTTTGCACGAAGGTTGGGAGAAAAACGTGCAATTAGAATATGGGAATGAATGCAGGTTCGCACCATCTCACAACTTTGTTTCTAAGCAGGCAATTTCAACCAAACAACCTGCCAGTATACAAGTTGTGCGAAACTGTGCAACGCAACCCATGTGGAGCAACCCAGATATCAACATTGCTTATCCAATACTACGGGTTTGCATCAAGGTTGGAAGAAAGTCATGCAGTTAGAATATGGGAATTGATGCAGGTTCGCTCCATGCTCACTGCCATACTTCAAGCAGGCAATTGCAACCAAACAACCTGACAGTATACAAACTGAGACAATGCAACCCATGTGGTGCAACCCAAACATCAGCAAACATCAGCACGTATTTGTTCAATACCACTGGTTTGCACGAAGGTTGGGAGAAAAACGTGCAATTAGAATATGGGAATGAATGCAGGTTCGCACCATCTCACAACTTTGTTTCTAAGCAGGCAATTTCAACCAAACAACCTGCCAGTATACAAGTTGTGCGAAACTGTGCCAACGCAACCCATGTGGAGCAACCCAAATATCAACATTGCTTGTCCAATACTACGGGTTTGCATCAAGGTTGGAAGAAAGTCATGCAGTTAGAATATGGGAATTGATGCAGGTTCGCTCCATCTCACTGCTATACTTTAAGCTTGCAATGCCATACTTCAAGCAGGCAATTGCAACCAAACAACCTGACAGCATACAAACTGAGACAATGAAACCCATGTGGTGCAACCCAAACATCAGCACGTATTTGTTCAATACCACTGGTTTGCACGAAGGTTGGGAGAAAAACGTGCAATTAGAATATGGGAATGAATGCAGGTTCGCACCATCTCACAACTTTGTTTCTAAGCAGGCAATTTCAACCAAACAACCTGCCAGTATACAAGTTGTGCGAAACTGTGCCAACGCAACCCATGTGGAGCAACCCAGATATCAACATTGCTTATCCAATACTACGGGTTTGCATCAAGGTTGGAAGAAAGTCATGCAGTTAGAATATGGGAATTGATGCAGGTTCGCTCCATCTCACTGCTATACTTCAAGCAGGCAATTGCAACCAAACAACCTGACAGTATACAAACTGAGACTATGCAACCCATGTGGTGCAACCCAAACATCAGCACGTATTTGTTCAATACCACTGGTTTGCACGAAGGTTGGGAGAAAAACATGCAGTTAGAATATGGGAATGAATTCAGGTTCGCACCATCTCACAACTTTGTTTCTAAGCAGGCAATTTCAACCAAACAACCTGCCAGTATACAAGTTGTGCGAAACTGTGCCAACGCAACCCATGTGGAGCAACCCAGATATCAACATTGCTTATCCAATACTACGGGTTTGCATCAAGGTTGGAAGAAAGTCATGCAGTTAGAATATGGGAATTGATGCAGGTTCGCTCCATCTCACTGCTATACTTCAAGCAGGCAATTGCAACCTAACAACCTACAAGTACCAGTATACAAACTGTGACAATGCAACCCATGTGGTTAAACCCAAACATCAACATTTGCTTGTCCAATACTACGGGTTTGCATCAAGGTTGGAAGAAAGTCATGCAGTTAGAATATGGGAATTGATGCAGGTTCGCTCCATCTCACTGCCATACTTCAAGCAGGCAATTGCAACCTAACAACCTACAAGTACCAGTATACAAACTGTGACAATGCAACCCATGTGGTGAAACGCAAACATCAACATTTGCTTGTCCAATACTACGGGTTTGCATCAAGGTTGGAAGAAAGTCATGCAGTTAGAATATGGGAATTGATGCAGGTTCGCTCCATATCACTGCTTGACTTTAAGCAAGCAATTGCAACCTAACAACCTACAAGTACCAGTATACAAACTGTGACAATGCAACCCATGTGGTGAACCCAAACATCAACATTTGCTTGTCCAATACTACGGGTTTGCATCAAGGTTGGAAGAAAGTCATGCAGTTAGAATATGGGAATTGATGCAGGTTCGCTCCATCTCACTGCCATACTTCAAGCAGGCAATTGCAACCAAACAACCTGACAGTATACAAACTGAGACAATGCAACCCATGTGCCCATGTGGTGCAACCCGAACATCAGCACGTATTTGTTCAATACCACTGGTTTGCACGAAGGTTGGGAGAAAAACGTGCAATTAGAATATGGGAATGAATGCAGGTTCGCACCATCTCACAACTTTATTTCTAAGCAGGCAATTTCAACCAAACAACCTGCCAGTATACAAGTTGTGCGAAACTGTGCCAACGCAACCCATGTGGAGCAACCCAAATATCAACATTGCTTGTCCAATACTACGGGTTTGCATCAAGGTTGGAAGAAAGTCATGCAGTTAGAATATGGGAATTGATGCAGGTTCGCTCCATCTCACTGCCATACTTCAAGCAGCCAATTGCAACCAAACAACCTGACAGTATACAAACTGAGACAATGCAACCCATGTGGTGCAACCCAAACATCAGCACGTATTTGTTCAATACCACTGGTTTGCACGAAGGTTGGGAGCAAAACATAAATAAGCTTTTACACACAGCAACTTTTACACAACAAATCATTGAATTTATTCAATCCCAATGGCTATTGTTATGGTTTACCGTATCAGTATGCCTTGGCTGTGCACTTTGGAGTGCGTGCACACGATGAGATGCACAGTACAATATGGGGCAATACACTACACGCATTGTACAGCACATCATGAAATCAAAGGCATCGATCGCAGGAAGAAAAATACTGTAAACAACTGGAAGGGAAGTCGGTGAGCAAGGTTTTGGATGGTTCGGGATATTCTAACTGCAGTTGGTTTTTTCCAAAATCCCATATTCTAACTATAAGATTTGTTTTTATGATTTTAGCAAATTCTATCTATTTTACAAAAACATCCACATTCTAACTGCCAGTCGGTTCCTGTAAGCATAACCATCCCAAATGTCCTTGTCTCAGGTTGACTTCTTATAAATCACAAATTGCAATTTGCCTAGAATTATCATCATATAATAATCCATGTGTTTTCTGGAACTTGAGATTCGACCTACAGAGCCAAGTCCATATCTTTCTTGCTTGGAACGATTAGATTTTTGCTGGCGCAAACCCTTATTTTGGTGACCTAAAAATCACAGTTTCGTTGTTCAGATGTATATAGGCACCCCCCTCCGGCGCAGGAGAGATCTTGATAAACGGCATCCCACTCTTCCAGTTGCCTGTGAAGGACCCGCTTGGTCCCTCTTCACTGGGTGAGAGCAATTGATCATTTTTCCTGGATGTCTGTCCACCACTTGGGCTCGGGGCGTTTGATTTCTGGTTCAAACTTCAAACACATATCCGTCACATATCCTCATATCCAAGGTTAGCCATGTTGAGCCAATCCTTCATGAGGGTTGGTGATGATTGTTGTGGGACCTGGGGGCAAGAATGACGCCATATATGGAGTTTCCCGAAATTCTGGACTCCAAGATGGGCATCATTTTCATAGGGAAAGCCACGTTTTTGGGATTCTCTAAAGTGGGAAACAGCGATATCTGCAAGAAACTGGAGGGGTGTACTACAGCTCCTAGCGGTTCTAGCCAGTCAGGATGCACTGGTACATGCCAGTCAGTAAGCGGTTCAGAAGCATCGCCAGAAGCTAATGGTACATGGGGTACCCTCTACTGGTCCACTGGTGGTCGCAGATCTAGGTCATCACTTATTTTCTACCCACTGAGCACTGACTGAATCCCAGTTATGCAGTGTTATCCCATCCTTTCTCTGGAATATGTATATAACTTTCTCCCAAAGGGCGGGGTGGGTACCCTAAAACCAATGGCTTTGAATATCATAAATTGCCATGAGGGCTGCCACACAGCCCCCCAAAACCACAAGTTTTAGTAAACTCTTGGCACTTGATTGACCGAAATTTGGTAGATTCTCATAAATTCACACACACATATATATCTAGATATATAACATTATATATATATACATGTCCCATTTAGTTCGATCATTTTCCCAGCTATAAACCTCCATTTATGGGGGCTTTTCCCATCAAGACCTCCATTGATAGATGGTCATTCCATTAAGTAACAATTTTTAAGCAAGATCTTCCCATAAAGTCACCATCTATACATTATGTTCCCATCAAGTCATCATTTCTAGAGGATTTTCCATATGGATTTTCCATTTCTTCCATTACATCATTGCAATTTTTGACTGTTTCGGGTCAATTTCATGGGATGATTTTTCGCTGCAGTCCTGGCGAAAGCTCATTGGTTTCGTGGGACAAGAGCCAGTGCTCTTTGCCACCTCAGTACCTTGGAATTCAGCGGCAAAACATCAGGGGTTTATATATATATATATATTGATTTAATATGGTTAAACCACTAATAAACCACCTATTTGGGAATGGTAACCATACCACCTATTCTACCTATTTGTGGTGATTTGGATGATACTTTCTTATTGTTTTGCCCACACTATATGGGATGTATACATATATATATATATATACAGGGGTTTCCATAGTCATGTGGCCATGGGGGTACCCCCAATAGCCCCCAAAAAAAGATTGTTGGTTTCAGGGAAAATCCTATACCCCCAACATGGAAAATCCCAAAATAAAATATGGATGATAACTGAGGGTACCCCCATGACTTAGGAAACCTCCGCATGTACCGATCAAATCAGCATTCCCAATCTTTCCTGATGACCCAGATGTGCCGATCCTACTGTATTTACCATTCTTTTTGAACAATCTCAACTGAGTGCATTGTTTGTATGGCATTCGGGATAGGAACAGAAGCTGAATTGAACAGGGAGAACACCCATAATAATACTGCTTGGTGGTTTGGAACATGAATATTGTCCATATATTGTGAATAGTAACCCCAACTGACGAGATCTGACGAGCATATTTTTCAGAGGGGCTGGCTCAACCACCAACCAGATCCATTGCCAGGTTGGATTACCGGAGAGATCAAGAAACACCATTGACATCACGGGATCAGGTCTCAGCTGTCGATAGATAATATATCTACTGTTCCACTTAGGATGCAACATGATATATTGCAATATCTAACATTTATTAATATATATATATATATAATATATCATGTACCTATATAATGCATAGGTTTAATGATTCAAGTAAACATATATGCATAATTATGTACTGTATATTTAGTTGTACATGATGTGAGAAACTTACTAATAAGTCTACCATTTGGGGATGATAGTTGCCAGCCGTCTATATATAGTGATTTTGGGAATTATATGTGGCACTGGGTTTACCACATGATATCCAGTGATTATGAACCATGAACCTTTAGATATACTATAATATAGATAATGACCCTTATTAGCAATTATTAACCAACAACCATCATGTTAATCCATATTAATCTATATATTAATGCGTATTCATCCCATTATGTTGTTGAGTTGAACATTATTTATATGATGGGATGAATCCCATTATGATTGGATCCCATATATGATAAGGATTGGTAATTAACAGATCTATGATAATGATCAATTATATTTATTATTTATTTGATTGGTGGTTTGGAACATTTGGATTATTTTTCCTTTTTTTATTGAGAATGTCATCATCCCAACTGACGAACTCCATCATTTTTCAGAGGGGTTGTAACCAACCAGCAACGAGATGGTTATTAATGGTTATATATGGTTATTAATAATGGTTAATGGTGGTTACCATCTGGTTATTTAACACAGCTATGGAAAATCACCATTTTTAATAGGTAAACCATCTATAAATGGGCCATCTATACCATGGCTATCTTAAATAACCAGAGGGTAATGGCTAGTTGATGATATGAATCCCTGAAATCACCCAGTGGTTTTGTCCCCCTTGAGGCGATGAACAACCTACGCATGGGGGACGACTCGATCACTGAGGAGGAAGCCATCAAGGTGCGCTGCGCAAGGGACGCAGCGAAGATCTGGAGGTTTCATGGAGGTTTCCGAAAAAATCGGGGTACCCCAAGTCACTATGGGTAGAACAAAACGAATGGTTAATATAATGACTTGGATGATTTGGGGTAGGTCTAGTTTAGATGGATGTGATGTTTGTTGCATAGCATATACATATGATATTTTATTTTTTGGCTGGATGTCCAAGATTGGCCATGAAGACTGGTGCAGGGGATGGCCTGCAGCCAGTAAGCAATCCAAACCACAAACCCAAACGACCAGTTCACCAACTGTTGATGAACTCGTAAACTTTTAAAGATGATACCCTCTGGTAACCAAACGTGGCTTGCTGGAAGATCCATGAAGATCCCTCATTTATAGATGATATTTGAAGCTCCATTTGGTTTGGGGATTTTCCAGCCTCGATGATGATGGAACTGTTCCCCGTAAGGAGGTGAGGAAACTGGGGTGCCCTTCGGTGTTATGCCTGGTTAATCCCGAATCCTCATACGTCCTAGGCGTGTTGTTTCACTTGTTGATGTGTTACTTACTTTTTCACACACGAACACGCATCATCAATCAAGCCCTGAAAAATATCCATACTAGATTAACCATGTTGATCCATATTGTTTAATCTTGTAATGCCTATTTAATCCTATTTAATCGTGCGTGTCATGGTCTTAAAAGTTGGCTGAATGATGTTTTCCTTGCGGCCATCTTTGACCTTGTTCAACAGGTTGATTTCCCCTTCATTGTTGCCGGTGATTTCAATGACCCGCCGCATTTGTTGCCGGCATTCTCCTTGTTTGCTGAAATTGGTGCGGTTGAGGCATTTTCGTATTTTAGATATTCTAGAGATGTCGATCTCCGTGCCACTTGCTTGGGTTCCACTAGGAACGACACTTGTATTTTTCACCCTTGGTTGGTCCCCTATATCTGTGATATGCGTGTGGAGGCTGATCATCAGTTTGATACATATGTTCCATTGGCTGTTTTCCTTGCCTTTCGTCGGGATACAACTCCTTCTTTTAAGTTGTCAATTCCTTGTTCATGGGCGGCTTTGGCTCCTCCCAAAGGTGTGATTGCTACGTGTTATGATCACAAGCCACTTTCTCTTTTTTTCAACTTGGATCATGTTGTTGATGCCTATCAAACAGAGGCTGCTCTTGTTGCATGGTCGCACGCAGTTGAGCTTGCAGTTGACAAGGCAATTTCCATTTCTCACAAGCTTAACCCGGTGGTGTACCCATGGCCGTCGTTGCATCCCAAGTTTAAGGGTCGTTGCAATGCAAAGAAAACTTTCTGGACCTCTACTCATAGTAGTGTCCGTGATGACCCCACTGGGGCATTTAATCCCGTATCAGAAGTTTTTTCAACAAAATCTAGGCAGATCGTTAGACAGATGCGGCGACTCAAATCATTTCGCAGAGCCCATCCTTCTCTGAGACTGGGGGCCCGGTGAAGATTGAAGCCCAGCGTCATCAGCTCTCCCGGGAGTGGAATGTTTTCCTCATGGCCAAGGGGTTTGGCAGCAAATGGGCTTCCTGGATTTTGGCCTTTGAACTTGTCCCTTTTGTGCCGGTATCCTTCCCGAGTTGTGACATTTTTGGACCTTTGCATTGACATCACTGAGATGCACTGCAATACGGTCTGCAGGCAGGAAGTTTCAGCACGGCGGGATTCTTTCCGACACCGCATTAAAGTTGATCACGATGAAGGTTTTCTTAGCTTGTCTTATCGCATCATCCGTGGAAACCCGGCTCCTCCTTTGAATGAGGTCCCCTTTGAACTCCCATCCCCGGCTTGTTTAATTCGTTCCAGGAAAGGTGAGTCCTTCATTCGGGTCTCTGACAAAACCCAGTTTAGATGTGAATCTCACGCGGTGTTTGGTGATGCCGTGGTCAAATTGATTGCTCAGTCTGAGGACAAAATCCGATTCTCGGTGGTATCTGGTGTAATCCCTGCCAAGGGTGCTACGTCAAGAACATATCGCTATGACCACCTGTGAAATTCAGGATGCCTTCAATACATTTTTCGTCACAGTACTGGCAGCGTGATCTGGTTTCTGAGACTCAGTCTGATGAACCTTGGCATGCATTCGTCGAACAAATGAATCAGGTTGGGTTTCCTCAACTGCCGGAGATTGATATAAAACTTGGCTCTGCGTCACTTTGGATGCGTGCTATCCGTGGTTTGAAATCTGGCAAAGCCGAAGGTATTGATGGTTGGAGGTGCGATGAGATCAAGAAGTTACCGGAGACTTGTATTTCTGACCTAGCTGCTATCCTTGCCAGGGGTGCACGTTTTGGTCTTTCCAAATCCCTCATGGCTGCCAAGACCACGCTGCTGGCAAAAATCCCTGACCCTAAGTCACTTCATCACATCCGGCCGATCACTATCCTTGGCGTGATCTATATACCGTCTCACTGGACGGGTGATTTTAAAACATGTTTTTCAAGCTTGGAAGATGACAATGCCTTTACTGATATCTGGCGAATTGCCAGGTCGTGGCGTAAAGGACATAGCTTACCTTCTCAAACACCGGATCGAACTTGCAATCCAAAACAAAGCCCAGTTGGGCGGTTTCACATTGGACCTGAAGAAGGCTTTCAATACATTCCCTAGATGGCCCATCGTTTTCCTATGGCGCAAGTTGGGCATCCCGCAATGGGTCTGTGATTTCTGGTTGCACTCCCTCATGAGGATGCAGAGATTCCCCCATCTACATGGTTGTCTTGGTTCCCCTGTTGAATCCACCACTGGGGCTCCTGAAGGAAACAGCCTTACTGTTGTGGCTATGTTGGCACTTGCGACGGCCTTCCATTGGTCCATCACAAATGATGCTGTTACCTCCCACGGTTATGCTGACAACTGGGGGTGGTCTACCTTCAAGTTTGAAAGTCACAAGACTGCCTTTTTGTCCACTCTGAAGTTTACTTCATCCTTGAGACTGCAGATTGATTTTGAAAAGAGTTGGCACTGGTCAATCGCAAAGGAGTTCCCTCCAGCCTGGACTTATCCTCACTTTTTCCTGCGGGTGACATACCCATCCGCGTTGAAACCCATGTTAAGGATCTTGGTGAGAGGTTCCACTACAATAAGTCCATTCAAGTGGGAAACGACAAGGATAAAATTGCTGAAGCCGAGAGCCGTGCCAAGCGTCTCAAACACTTGCCACTGGACCCTCAGACCAAGGCAGCCATGATTCAGTCATCAACATGGCCTATGGCCCTTTACTCTGCTGATGCAGCTTTTCCGGGCATGACCCACTTTCAAACCTTGAGAGGTGCAGCCTTGTTTGCTTTCATTGGCAAATGTAATTTTGCATCACCATGGCTGGCTTGTTTTTCGCTGTCCAAGATGCTGCTTGACCCCTTGCTGTTTGTCGTACTGTCCATTTTGAGGTCTGTCAGACGTCTCACGTCCATCTGCTTTGATGATGCTATGAGCATCATCCACCTTGCTTGTCAGTTTGAAGGGAGTATATAGACCGTTTGGTCCGGGATCCACTTTGAAGCGGTATCTTTCAATCTTGGGTTGGCAGATCCATCCTGATGCTCCCACCGGATCATTTCAGTGTTAGCTTGATTGATGACTCTTGTGACAAGATTTGCAAAACCTTTAAGCAGGCTTGGCCACATTTCTTGATCACTAACTTGAACCGAAAAGGTACTGGTGATTTTATTCCTCACCCTTCACTGACGGCCCAAGTTCTATCCAGCTTTGCCCCTGAGGACCAAGGTCTGTTGATCCGCAATGCGGGTGGTGGATTCCAGACGGCTGCAACTCAGAATTTGTGTGGGTTAGAGGATGGTCGTTCGCATCGATGCTTGGAGTGTCCTTCTATGGATGAAGTGAGAACTCGCCACCCTGAAGCCGTCTCAATCTTGCAGAACGATCGCCCTGATTGGGTCTACATTCCGCTGGCCCATTCCTCCCCAGAAGTGGTGCTTCAGAGAGCATTCCTCAAAACTATCAAGGTGGAGGAGTCTGATCTTCCTCAATTTGATGCCGTAAACAAAATTACACTTTACACTGATGGTGGTGCAATCAACCCTTCTGATCCTGATGCACGCTTGGCTAGTTGGGCTGTTGTGGCTGATACTTCTGACCTCTCGGTGAAGGGTGCCCAGGTCGTGTCAGAACATATGGGATCATCATTGCATTGCCCACTGTTGAAAGTTGTGGGGTGTGGTGTGGCCTTGCCTACGGCCACCAATCTGCTGCAAGGGGGGAATTGTTGGCTTTCTGTCATGCACTGCGGGTGGCTGAGAAGTATGACAATGGCATTGAAACCTTCATTGTTACTGGTGCTTCTTACGTTTGTTTTATTAACTTTGTGCTGCACCAAGGAAATGTGGATTTCCCTAATCATAAGGTTCGTAATGGTGATATCATTAAGTTGATCAAATCCCATTGGAACCCAAGAGTCAAGGTCCTCAAAACCCGAAGACATAGAACAATCGAGGAGGCCACTGATTGGTTTGATCTGTGGACACTGTATGGTAACTTTGTTGCTGACTTTGCCGCACCAGCTGCGTTGAAGCGAGTTCCCCAAGCGGTTACTGACATGCTTAATGACTTTGCAACTTTCCGGATGAACGAAGCTGCACGTCTTCAGAAAGTGTTCACCTATTTGGTTGACCTCAATCGGTATCAAATTGATGCAGTGCAGCAAGGATCTAACATTGTTGGACAACCTGACAGCCCGAAGTTGACGTGTCAAATTTCCTCATGCCGCCTAAAGCGATGGGTGTTGAAGCCTTGGAATTTCTGAAGTCATATGAGCCCTCCCATTTTGTGCATCTGTTTGATGAGAACACCGTGGACAGAAATACTTACGGCGGAAGTATCCAAGGGGCAAGTTTTACCGCCGCAGTTGTCCAATGGCTTGCCCACTGTCGCTGGCCTCCTGACATTCAGAATGACTACAGCCGAAACGACAATTGGGGTATTTCATGGCTGGTGCTCCTTTTCAGTTTCGTGCTTTTCTCAGGCATGTATCCACCCGTCAAAACTGGGGGCAAAAAAGCGGATGCTGTTTTCCTGAATTATTCTTCTCGTGAGGCCCTGATGTTGCCGGCCTCGACTCGCTCAGCCTCCAAAACATACCTTTTCGCAAGCCATTTTGGCTATCAGAACCATCACATCGGCTCCAATTTTGCCGAACTTTTCATCCAAAAAGTGCCCATGTCTCCGTCACTTCAGTTTTACTGGTACGTTTGCCTTGTAGGCCCTGTTTGCCTAATCCTGGGGAGACTGCTCAAGCGGTCTATGAGTATGTCTCCAGGTTGGGCAGTGCCCTTACCTTTCACTTGCCGTTGACTCTTCTTGATGCTCCGCTGCCATTTGATCAGGGTGATATCACTGAAGTTTCCATGCGTGAGAGCCGTGAGAGACATCAGTGTTGGCAACGCATCGTCACTCACCGGTATAAACGCCTTGCTAAAGAGCGCAAAGCTCTGGGTCATATCACTAATTGAGTGCTTGCCAATTCGAAAACACCGCTTGCAGTTGTGCTTGTCTTGCCTGGTGTGGTACAGTTCCTAGCGGTTCACCCTCTCTTTTCTGACACATCTCACCCCCTTCGGGAAGGGATGATGTGCTGCGACCCTCGCTCGCGCCGAATTCCGTCAAAAGTTGGCTGATATACCCAGTCCTTGTGTGATCATCAATCCAGTTTCACAGGGAATCACATGCCCATTCTGGTTGGGTTCCCAATGTAGGAAGGATGACTTTAGAACATTAATCTTATATATATATATATAGTTGACTTTTTAGATAGAGTACCCCTATATCTTCCAAGTCTCAAAAAAAGATCACGGAACATTCTATGGTTGTACGGTAAAACTATGTAAAACTCACCGAACTCTGGGACCTCTGAGGCTGCCAAGGACGCCCAGATTTACGAGGCCTTGAGCGTCTTGCCGCAGCAGTTTGACACCTTCGTTGGCCTTGGAGGTGCGAGAGCTACGGAGGGACAAAACCAGGGTTTCTAGTTTTTGTGATAACCGTTGTAACATGTTATAACCCAATACTAAGGTGATATAGCCCAATTATAACCCATATAGTTTGAAGTTAATTATAGTCTATATTAATAGGTATATTCTGCTGGGTATACTTACGCTATAACTGCTATAACAACCGAATTATATGATATTATATGTGGGAGAACCTCGGAAAATCGGGGACTTACTAACTGGACTGGAGTTGTGAACCACGTCTTTATCCGTAGGATGATCCTAGACAAGTAGCTCGCCAAGCTAAAAGCTTTGTAGGTTGGGCAGTTTTGTTTTGGTTGTTGATGATGGTTAATCGATGTAATTTGGGTAAAACAATAATAAACCACCCATTTGGGAATGGTTTATACCCCCCTATTTATGGTGATTCATTATTGGTTTAAACACATTGTGGATGTTCCAAATGATACTAAACTATACTTAACCATTGATAGTGCTGGTTCCAGGGCTTTCAATGATTTCAACGGCATCATTGTCATAATTTCCACCAATCCCCAACGGAACGGAGCAGCAAGAAAGGTGGGTTGCATTTTGGGTATCGATGGATAGACAACATGTAAATGAATATATATATATATGTTCTATTCTGTTGTATTCTATCCTATTCTATCTAATTATATTATATTATATTATATGATATTATTTGGTGTTATATCGTATTATATCATGTTAAATTATTTTATATCATATTACATTATATTTAATTATATCATAATATTATTATACTATATTTAATTATATCATACTATTTTATATTATATTTTATTATATTATAATATATTCTTTTATATATATATATATTATATATTATATATATACCTGTTGTTGAATAGTATTGTATTATTTTACGTTGTGTTACATGAAATTAATTTGAATCATACTATATTATACTATATTATATTCTATTTATAACATATTATGTTATATATTTTTTTTTAGCATATCATACCATATCATATCACTATATTTTATTATACCATATTATGCTTTACTTGTTTAAATAAATCAAATTGTATTATATCATATTAGGTAATATTATATGATGAATGATCATATTATGTGATATTATATCATATCATATCATGTTATATTGTATTTTATTATATGATATTATGTGTGTGTATCATCATGACCCATATCTATACTTTGTTCTTTTTCCCAGGCCTTGATTCGTTTCACCAATTGGATTTTCCGCCAGGCAACCTACTCTCAGGAGGCCAACGGCAGAGGGTCACTTGGATCTGCACGGGGATACAATGGGACAAGCGTCCCCAAAGCTTACCACCGAGCCCTAGAGATGGATGGATAAGCATGGAATAAACTTTTTTTTGTGATGGTTGGTGCTACCAAATGTGCTAAAGATTCGCTTTTCATTAGCACAAAAATTCTTGGCCCATCAATGGCCACAGATCTGGTCATTTTCGGAGATTCAACATTCATAATAGCCCATACGCCATTACCAATCACCATTTTTACGGGCCACAAAATTTTGACGCAGATCGAAATGCCATCAATACACAATTTTGCTGCGAGTTTCCATTCTTTTCCCATGCGGAAGTTGCCATGCGAGAGGATTGTATAGGCATGTAGGATGGTGTTTTTATCCATCTAATTAATTTTGAAAATTACAGAATTTTGAGCGGTTGCAGTAAAGGGCTATGTTTGATGGTGAAAGCTCAGCGTTTTTCTTGTAGTTATTCCCCTTAATTAACCCACTTTGCAGAGGACTTTGTGCAACAAACATGAGTGGGTTTGTTGAAAGCCATGCTCCATTCACTTTCAACTTTAATCCAGTAATCCAAATGTACCAGCCACACCAGTCAGTAAGTGGTTTCAAAACGCACATATGTGATCATATATGATCCATACACTTTGGGATATTTCTTTTTATCATGTTTTGGAGTAGCTCTTCGAAAATCGGATGTTCCGTTCCATACCAAACTGTTCAATCACCGGAGGGTATTGGCCCATATTCCATCAAGATCATGTATATCATATATGTTAGTTAATCATAGGTAATCTATCTAGTTAGTAGCTTGTTGTATAATCTATGTATTCCCTTGTGTTCCCTGGTGATATCCCCATTGAATCACGGCCGAGGTCGCCATTGCCCGGGCCTTGGCCAAGCGCCCGCAGATTTTGCTGCTGGATGAGGCCACCTCGGCCTTGGACAACGAGTCGGAGAGGATGGTTCAGGACCCACCTGGGAAGGGCAACGTGGAAAATCCACCACTTTTGTCACAGGAAAATCATGGTCAATCCATCTATAAATGGGGAAAATAGCATTTTTGTTACAGGTAAATCATCCACAACTGGGCCGTTCGCATCCATTGTCCAATGTTTTACAGGTAAATGAGCTACCAGTAGTACCGCACAAGGCGGTGGCGGAAGTTTCAAAAATAGGAAACCTGCAGCAGAGGTTGGTTGTTGTGAATCCCGGATGGTAGAGCGAATCCACTGATGGACCGACAGGTGGTTGGAGTTGTGTTTCTTGGAGTGGTTGCAATTGCAATGGTTGCAGTGGTCACATTACTACAACTGCTGGATGTAGTGTGGTGTAGTGCAGTCGCAGTTGTAGTTGTAGCTATAGTTGTAGTGTAGCGTCGTGGAGCTGTAGCTGTAATGTAAGTGTCAGTAGTGTAGTGTAGTTGTAGTGTAGTGCAGTGTCATTAGTGTAGTGTAGTGTAATGTAGCGTAGTGTAGTGTAATTTAGTGGTAATAGTTGTAGTAGTTGTTGTAGTTGTAGTTGCAGTTGCAGCTGCAGTTGTAGTTGTAGCGTAATGCAATGTAATCAGTGTAGTTTAGTGTTGTGTAACGTAGTGTGGGTGTAGTTGTAGTTGTGTTTGTAGTTGTAGTGTGTGTGTGTGCTGCAGTGTAACTAGTGTAGTGTAGTTATAATTGTAGTTGTAGTTGTGGTAGTTGTAGTTGTAGTTGTAGTTGTTGTTGTTGTTGTTTTATAAGATTCTTACTGCTACAGTCTGAGACCATCAAAAATTGTTATTTTTCATTTTTTCATTTTCATTTCCATTTTCATTTTCATTATCATTTTCATTATCGTTTTTTTCATTTTATCTTCATGTTTTCATTTTTGTTCATCGCCTTTTGCCATCAAACTTCTTTTTTTCCATTTGCAACTTCATTTTTTTCATTTGCAAATTCATTTTCTTTTCATGTTCCCTTGTTTTTGATGGTTTTTCATTGTTTTTCATGGCTTTCCTGGATTTCAGGTGCCACGGGCAAGGAAAATGAAAAAAACATGAAAAAAATGAAAAAAAATGAAAATTTCCTCGAGTTTTTGAAGATTTCCTAGTTCGGAGTGAGAATCTGCAACTTTGAGTCCAAATTTTCATGTTTTTTTCATTTGCAACTTCATTTTTTTTTTCATTTTCCTTTGTTTTTGATGGTTATCCATTGTTTTTCATTGTTTTTCATGGCTTTCCTGGATTTCAGGTGCCACGGGCAAGGAAAATGAAAAAACATGAGAAAAAATGGAAAAAATGAAAAAAAATGAAAAAATGATAAAAACTAAAAAAAAAACATGAAAATTTCCTCGTTTTTGAAGATTTCCTGGTTCGGAGTGAGAATATGCAACTTTGAGATACTTTGAGTCCAAATTTTCATTTTTTTTAATTTGCAACTTCATTTTTTTTTTCATTTTCCTTTGTTTTTGATGGTTTCCATTGTTTTTCATTGTTTTTCATGGCTTTCCTGGATTTCAGGTGCCACGGGCAAGGAAAATGAAAAAAAAAAGATAACAAACATGAAAAAAAAATGAAAATTTCCTCGAGTTTTTGAAGATTTCTTGGTTCGGAGTGAGAATCTGGAACTTTGAGTCCAAATTTTCATTTTTTTTTCATTTGCAACTTCATTTTTTTTTTCATTTTCCTTTGTTTTTGATGGTTTTCCATTGTTTTTCATTGTTTTTCATGGCTTTCCTGGATTTCAGGTGCCACGGGCAAGGAAAATGAAAAAAAATGATAAAAAATGAAAAAAAATAAAAAAATGAAAATTTCCTCGAGTTTTTGAAGATTTCCTGGTTCGGAGTGAGAATCTGCAACTTTGAGTCCAAATTTTCATTTTTTTTTAATTTGCAACTTCATTTTTTTTTCATTTTCCTTTGTTTTTGATGGTTTTCCATTGTTTTTCATTGTTTTTCATGGTTTTCTTGGATTTCAGGTGCCACGGGAAAGGAAAATTAAAAAAAACATGATAAAAAAATGAAGTTTAAAATGAAAAAAAATGAAGTTTGAAATGAAAAAAATTATGTTTGAAATGAAAAAATGAAGTTTGGAGAAACAAAAAACGAAAAACAAATGAAAAATAAATGAAAAATATATGAAAACAAAAAAATGATTGAAAAACAAAATGAAAAAAATGAAGTTACAAATGAAAACCCAAATGAAAAATAAATGAAAAAATTAAAGCATTTCCAATCTGTGGCTCGATGCGAATCATATAATTGTTGTTGTTGTTGTTGTAGTGTAGTGTAGTGTAGTGTGGTGTAGGGTAGTGTAGCTAGATGTATTTAGTGTAGTGTAGTGTAGTTAGTGTAGTGTAATGTAGCGTAGTATATTGTAGCTGTAGCAGTAGTGTAGTGTAGTGGTAGTTGAAGTTGTTGTAGTTCTAATTGTCTATCTTTCTATCTATCTATCTGTCTGTCTGTCTGTCTATCAAAACAAGATTGAAAACGCAGCTATTTTGCGAGACTTCCTCAATTTTTGAACTTGACAACGTCAAAAACGAAACAATTCTGCGAGACTTCCTAAAATGGAAAGTTGAGTGCAGAGCTGACGGCCTCGTACCATTGCGTTTTGCGATTTTTCCAGTCCACCTGTCGAAAGTACTGCGCCTGCCACGAAAAAGTGATTTTTCCAGTCCACCTGTCACGCAAAATCATCTCAGCAAACCATGATCCAAAAATGGAACCCCTCTCAGGAAATCAGCGCCCTCACCTCCTAACAGCTCCGATGAAGATGTCTCTTGTACTGCGTCTGCCACGGAAAATGCATCTTTGCAGATCCTCTTCAAATGTCCCACGCCTGCCATCGTTTTTGAAAATGCTACAAAACCATCACGTTTTGCTCACTTTCGACAAGGTGCACAATCCCTTGCGCCTGCCACGCGAAACGGGATCTGAACGTCCAAAAGTGGTCCGTACATGGTGTGTTTTGTACATTTTGACTTCGAAATCTGCTTCGCGCCACAACGGCGTGCACTTTTTCCACATCTCAACTTCCCAAAGTGGTCCGAACATGGTGTGCTTTGTACATTTTGACTTCGAAATCTGCTTCGCGCCACAACTGCGCGCACTTTTTCCACATCTCAACTTTCCAAAAGGGGTCCGAACATGGTGTGTTTTGTACATTTTGACTTCGAAATGCGCTTCGCGCCACAACGGCGTGCACTTTTTCGACATCTCAACTTCCAAAGTGGTCCGAACATGGTGTGTTTTGTACATTTTGACTTCGAAATGTGCTTTGCGCAAAAACGGCGTGCAATTTTTCATCTCTCATCTGGCCAGATGGCTCCGCACCCGCCGCTTTAGCGAGCCTACTTTTCGACCCTCCGGAGCCACAAATCATTGGAAAAACACAGTGTTTCGCGACTTTCCTACCTTTTCGCGCATCTGCTTCTTTCTTCTGACTCTTTCTCTTTCTTCTTCTCTTCTCTCTGACTCTTCCCATCTCTGCTTTTCATCTGTCCATATTGTCGGAAGTTTGACTTCTAAACTTCCTTCGATAAATGGACCATTTTTGTCCATCTGCACCATAACTATGCTAGATTCCTAGCGGGTCAAAATCCATTCCAAAAAATGAGATATGCTAAATTTCCAGACGCTCATGAAAATGGAGACCCACGATTGGATCCTCAGAGTTCTCGGAATGTGTTTCACAGCAACAAAAATGGGCATGGATTGTTCCATTGATCAACGCGGCTCCAAGATGTTCCAGTTGCATCCAGTTGCCAGGGCGGCAACTGGGGATAGCTCGGGATCGCTCCCAAAAGAACAGCTGTTGCCTTGGGGATGATGTCGTGATCCTCATGATATTCCCAATATATCGCCATATCATGCCATATCCCCGAGTCAGATTCGTATATATATATATATATATATCACCTATCCCGTTATCTTCAGTTGTACATTCCCATTTCCCAGAAAATTTCCAGTTAAATCATATTATGAGCAGGGTATGCCTATGTATGCCTAAAATAAATAGATAAATAAATATATATATATATATGATTTATATATATATACATATTTATGTGCACATCCCCAACATTCCCAAGCATCATTTGCCATTGAATATCCATATGCCCAATACATCCCCAATAAAACCCCAACAAAATCCTATAAAGTGTTTCCGTCGACTCACCAGGAGACCTTAGACGCCCTGCAAAGCAATGTGGAGAGGAGCCTGACGACCATCTCCATTGCCCACAGGCGAGCCACTGAGCGACCCTGGGGGTGATTGGATTGAATACCCTCTGGTAAACACTATGTTCAATAGGTAAATCAACTACGTATAAATGGGGATCCATTTTCAATAGCGATGCTAAATTGCCAGAAGGTATAGTCTATAGTGGATTTTATTTTCTTTTTTTACATGCAAATATCTATGATATATATATATATAATACTTATGTATTTATTTAATACATCAGATAGAAAAGTGGAAACATGTTTGAATGTCTCGATGCGTTTGTTTTTTTTAAACCCCGTTTTCAGCGTTGCCCGGGGTTGGTTGAAATGGAGCAAAGGCTCAAAATCATTGACTCACCAACTTGGGAACTCCCATGATCAAAGACTCATCAACAGGGGTTAAATTCCCATATTTGCTGCTTACATATGTTCTATGGCTAGATCCAGAAGTTTATAATTTCATTATTCCAGAATGATCCAGATTCGCTTCTTAGCCAATGTTTCAGATGTCAACTCCACTTTTTTGGGCCGCAGGTTAACTTCAATCATGGCATCTGATGCTTCCTGGCTTGGGATGATTGGGATGGGTCACCGCAATTCGGGGTAGCCTCCGGTCATCCAACATGGCCTAAATCCATGGTAAATCCATCATTTTTAGGTGTTGTTCATTGATTTTCCCATGAAAATTATCCACCTTTGTAATGTTGGATGGACAATAGTCAAGCGCGCGCAATAGCTACAAATAATTTTCAGAATCTGATTTTCAGCCCCTATTGATTTTTAATTAGGCCTTATTGATTTTAAATTACAGACATCAATCTTTGTCCAGAGCATCTGCAATAACTGTGCTGCATTCGCAATAGCTGCAAATAATTTTCAGAAATGTCCCAAATAATTAGTTTTTTTCCAAAATTAAATTGTACAAGGGCTAATTGAGATTTAGTATGGATGCAAGAAAAAACTCAGAACCATTTACAGTTCAGCTGTATTTTTCCCTTCTTCCTTAGTGTGTTTAATTGTGTTACATGGTTTTAAATTGTGATTGCATGCTTTTCAAACGCAAAAAACAAAGCACACCTTTACCAAATCAAAAATTTTACCTTGTTCAAAAGAGCTGTTTTCTTTATTAAAATCCTTTTCAAAATATATAATGCAAAAAACAGGTCCACAAAGGGTACCCCCTTGCAGGTCCTTGCATTTGCAATTAAACATTGGAATTAGCACGTGCAATAAGATACAACCTTTCTGGCTCTAGCTGATTTTGTTTCCCTTCTTCCTTAGTGTTTTTAATTGTGGTTGAATGGTTTTAAATTGTGATTGCATGCTTTTCGAAAGCAAAAAACAAAGCAAACCTTTACCAAATCAAAAATTTTACCTTGTTCAAAAGAGCTGTTTTCTTTATTAGAATCATTTTCAAAATAATGCAAAAAACAGGTCCACAAAGGGTACCCCCTTGCAGGTCCTTGCATTTGCAATTAAAAATTGGAATTAGCACTTGCAATAAAAAACAACCTTTCTGGCTCAGCTGCATTTTTTTGCCCTCCTTCCTTAGTGTTTTTAATTGTGGCTGAATGGTTTTTAATTGTGATTCTCACCAAAGCCTATCAGAAAACAGAGGTTCTCAATCAGAATCCAATGAAGATCCCATCAGAGCCTATCAGAAAAGAGAGGATTTGTCAAAACCTTACAGAAGCCTTGGGGAAGAATTGGGATTTTCTATTTACTATTGCAAAGCAGACCGCCCCCCCCTTAAAAAAAAAAATAGGGGAGGGGGACCCCCTTAACTATTGTCGATGTAACATTAAGGGATTTGACATTGCCACCTTTGATTCGCTAAGGGTCACCAGGTACCTTCGCATCACTTGTTTTGGCGGTGAAATCCTCGATGGCATTGGCGGGTCAGCCAGGTCATCTATGTGTTGAAGGATGGAGCCGTTTGCGAGCACGGAACTCATGATGACCTCGTGAACATGATGCCTGGTTGAAACTAACAGGCACACTGGCACAGCCTGAAAGATCCTGGAATAAGAACATGAAAAACATGAAGAAAACCCATTGAGAAAAGTTACTTAAGTGGTGGATTTCCACCAGGCAGGAATTGGGTAACCCCAAAAAACAGAACAGACAGCAAAAAGACTGAAGTGCTTGGGTGCAGCTCAGCCAAAGTTTCACTTGACCCTCAATTACCAATTATCACTTGAGGTGGCTTTGATTCTTGATTGCTGCATGTAAATGTAAAGTCTACTTTCCTGGTCGATGGTTTCACTGTTTTTTTTCCGCCATGTGGGTGTGGCTCAAAATTGGGCCACCCCGTCAACCAGGAAAGCAGTCTACTACAACATGGCGGCTCTCCAGTCTCCTGGTATGATTGGAAAATGACGAGTCGACGAGGTCACCGGAAATGATTGGTGGGAATCATCCCATGATCAAAGTTTTATGGCCAAAGTGTTTTATTAAGAATATATATATATATAATATTATATATATATAATATTATATATATATCCCAAAGATTCCCAAAGTATGTCTATAGAGTCTACAGTGAATTCTTATCGCTGATTGGATCAATTTGATCAAATCGTTGCGGTGCCAGGCCAGCGCGCCTTTTTGTTTGTGTCCTGAAGCTTTCGGTGTTTCAATGGGAACATGGATCATATGGTGTTCCTCAGCACTGTGCAGATATCCTTCTGCAAATTGTATACATATTGATGCAATTTTTGAAACACATTTGATGCATATTATATGTACATTCATCCTGCATGATCATTCATGTATGTTTGCATAAATAATTCACATAATTAATTATGTACTATGTAACAATTTACTTCATGTGGAACACAGTTTATGATAGTTTATGGGTCCTGAAGTCCTGAAGACTTTACAACACACATCAAAACACACGTCGAAGTCCATTTTGCACAGCAGGTGTAGAAACGCGACCGGGTACAACACAGCTCCAAAACTGAGAAGAAAGAGCGTGCACAGGCAGAAACCAAATATGTTCATCGTCAGAAGCTCAAGAAGCGCAACTTTTGTCCTACTTGTACCAGCGTATTTGCACAGACACAGACACAAATACATATCTATGATACATATACATATACCCACAATACACGCATATACATATATAATCATATATATATATTATACATAAACACTCATAACTATACACATACAGTTAAATGTACACGCACATATATATATATACACATACACATCAACGGATACATCTCTATTACACAGATGTGTATAATTATAGATATATATATATGTATAACGTGTATTAAATAAGTGTATTAATACTATGTAGAGGTAAAAAGGATCTATTTGTACCATGCCTCCCGAAACAAGAACTATTTCTGCGCTGGCTGAGGCGTGAGGAACCGCAGGAAGAAGAAAAACCCGAGGTACAAATGGGGAGTTTTTACCGCAGGAATGAGGAGATTTGACCACAAGAAATTGGGAACATCAAAACACATATGTATATAAGATGTAATTATATGCTAGTATTATGCATACATATATGAACATATCATAACATATCTACATGCACATAGGCATGTATACAAAATATACAAAGACACGTACATTTTTAAGCTACATATGGGATGTAATGGGATCCAACCTGCAAGTTTGAGATTTTGAGTGACTATGGTCGGCTATGGTCAAAGATTGTCTAAACCCTGGCTATAGATAGACTGGCCCCTTCTAACAGTAAAACATCCATAAAATAGATGATGTTGGAACTTCATTTGCTCCTTCCGGGGATTTTCTACCCCGAAAAAGAGGGATATGTACCTCTGATAGTTTAACTTGGCTTTGATAATGGTGATATATGAATGATTTACCTATAAGCAGTGTGATTTGATGATGTTCCATAGCTATGTTAGATTCCCAGAGGATAGCCATCACATGTATGGCCCACTGGCGTCGGGACTTTGGTTCTCCACCTCGCTTTAAAATTGCATTTTTGTTGCAGGAAATCAGGAAACATGATGATTGAGCCGAGCCAGGGATTGATTGGTACATATTGGTACCCTTTTTTCAGACATTCAGATTTTTGCGCTTGGCTTGACACATGGGGATTCCCAAAAAGTTTTCCGTTGTATTTGGTACTGTGGTTTTGTTTCCGAATTATTCACTGTTTCGACAGCTGCAAGGAAGAATGCACTTTTCTAAAATACAAGCACGTACAAACACAATAGGGTGGTCCGAAAATAGTGATAAATTATATACTATGGAAAGTGGTACCCCTCATTAATTCATATTGATTCATTGATCAACGCTTAGGATTGCGTTGGCATTACGCTACCGCACATTGCATCACATTACACCAGATCAGATTAGATGGCATTCGATGACCTCGCATTAAATCAACATGTTCAAGTTCAACTTTTACGTATATCAAGGCGTCACCGTCTCTCTCACTCTCCACATATGGGCACATATGGTAACTACGAAACGGACACGTAGATGTAACATGTAGAGCTACATTGTGAGCCCATGACCCGGTACAGGCCGCGGCTGTGGAAGCGTCGGGGGCTGAGACGATACCGTGGATACTGGGAACATCCCTGCAGAAGGAATAGATGTTTTACAGGATAGACAGTATTCTAACATATTCTAACAATGTTTTTTACCGTGAGTGATGAAATGTGATGAAATTATGTATCAGTGGAATATGGATGATGTAGAACCTTATCAGATGGATTATGGTATAATGGAACATACACACACACACATATATATATATATACATACACGGATCAGTTTGATTTAGGACTGTTCTAGGATTTCAAATATAGTTCTGGTGCATCTTTTTTCACTTGGTTGCATAACTTTTTGTGAAACATGGTGTCTCCTGGTTGTGACGGAACTCTGATGTCCCAGCATTTAGTAGTGTGTGTCACGACTGGGTTTGTTTGACCTTTGATTCTTTGACAAATAATTACTCGAATTTCAGCACTGCTTCAAAGCAGAATCGTTCCGACAGCAGTTGGCAGTGATTAGTTGTAAGATATACAATTCTCGGTATTTCTACGCTCGACGCTCCACTAGTTTTTGATGTGAACCAGAAGTGTTTTGCCGGCATCTGCAAATCGCCGTGGTTTATATATGTTTATATGGGAAAACCCCTGCTTTCCTAGACACATTTCCCATTTCCAGCCACGCTTGCTGGCGGAGCCTTGTTTTGAAGCGAGGTCATACAACAGAGGAGGCACCATGATGTCCAAAGCCAGCACTCAAACGTACATCATCGATAAGCCGCAGGTGCCCGATGCAGCTCTGGGTGTCTGAGAAGGTGGTTGGAGCCATACAAAATATACAATAATATATATATATATATATATGCATATGCGTGTGTGTGTGTGCGTAGATGTAGATGTATAGATGTATAGATGTATAGATGTACAGGATGTATTGATGTATGGATATATATATATTAATGTATATATATGTGTGTGTATATATATATAAAGATAGATGCCACCTACAATTCTCCCGCCAGAGAGTCTTCGGAGTACTTTTTGTAGGGTATGCAGGGCTAGCCATATTGTGATGTTGCCACGCAGTAACTCAGAACCTGACTACTAAATGGGGGAAGCGTCAGAACCATTCAAAACCTGTAACTTCAATTATATAAATAGGTAAACCAATGAAATTAACAGGATTCTATTAAGAATAAATCATAAACTTCAAATTTTTCATGGTCTATATACATGTCTATACATGTCTATACCAGCCTTTTTGGGGCTGGTTGGATTGTTGGTTTGCCTGCTGGATGATGTATCAAAATCAGCCCTGACGCAGGAGCAGGCCGCTGGGCATACGAGTGCTGGCGTTCGGAGTCCCAGGAGCTTTGGAGGGCTCGATCTTCGGCATGTTGAGAGATGTTCGGATTTTTCTGGAAGATATCTCTATGTACTTCATCCATTACTTCATCCAAACATGGCATGATTTTTTATGATTTTTTGATAGAGGGTGGAGCAATAAAATACTATGCTATACTCGAGCTGGTGACTATTGTGGCGGCGTTGCCCAGGTCTTCTGTCGCCTGTTTCGCACTGCAAGGTGCCTGGCCTGGAGCAGGAGATTTGAACAAGTCTCCTTCCTTGAAAAGATGTATAGAGACATAAGAGATCATAAAAGAGATTTAAACGTGACACACACACACACACATTTATGCATATTGTATATATATATTATATATATATATATATTATATTTATGTATGAGATTGATAGAGGACATTTGCATGAACCTATTGTACACATAGCTCTGTTACTGTGGTGAATTTTTTCACGACCTGACCGTCCTCGATCGGCCACAGCTTGGTGTTCGGAGGCCCGATTGGGTGATTCTTCCCTTCCTGCTGCTGGTGGTCCTGCTCTCATCGGTGGCAACGCCTTTCCAGGCGCTCTTCTTCAATCAGGCGGACTTCGGGATGCGTGACCCCTACCAGTGGTAGAAACAAGGGGATTTCCTTGTTTCATGGGGATAATGAACATGAAACATAGGGATAGGTAACATTAACTGTGCGGCGGGTCCCTGGAAAATGCATCCATGCATCCGTCAGTCCTTGGTCGTGTCTCGTCGTCACCTTCAAATTTCTTGCTTTTTGCTTGGTGCTTTGGTTCTTTTGATCACAATCATTGGGGATTACAGATGTAGCTTGTCTTTTCCATCTTTTTCCCGCTGCAAACAGAAATCAATTGTGTACGGCGGTTGAGTTAAGCCCCTGCTGACCTGCAGAGTCTCTGGGGCTTCGTGGTTTCAAGATGTTTCTTTGGGACGATGGGTGAAACATTGGGCAGTTCTTTGGCCCACAAAAACTGATATTTTTGTTGGTACACATCTTGTGAGTGATATATGTATAATATATATAATTACTGTATATGTAATTTGATGTGTTTGCAAGTTTGCAATCTTCAAAAACTATTTGGGATGATTATCCCAGCTGATCAATATCTGCATATAGCACATTATGGCACATTATAACACATCTACTGTATGCCTACAATGCCTTATCATTTTTGAAGGGGTTGAATTACGCCCACTCCTCTAGCTTGGAGCACCTTTTTGGTGCTGAAAGATACTATTGCACTGCACTTGGAAATCCTTAGGGTTATCGAACCCAAGACTTTCTTCTTCGCAAAACAGAAAGTGAACACTTTTGGATGTTATTTGGTATCATATTTGGATCATTGTCCTTTTGTATGTTTTATGGTGACGAGTTTTTTCGATAAAAAACGGAACCAACGATTTGAATCCGCGCGTCTGGGGAATGAACATATATTGGACCCAGCTGCTGGTCCCATCTATATAAAACGTGATAAATTCAATGACACACATAGATAACATTAGATAACCATGATAATAAAACTCATTGTAAAAAATCCACTGTAATCATAATATATATATATATGCAACTAACTATCCTGTTTTCCATCTTTCAATGGGAACTTTGGGGCATTACAGCCATTTTCCGACAGGACCCTGACTTGGAAGATGATTTACTGGCACAAAATGTTGGGTTCTGTGCTCTGGTGTAATTCCATTGTTTAATTCTTTTTACCTCATGTGGGTAAAACAATGCCATAAACCACCCATGACTGGGAATGGTAAACAGACCACCCCAAAAAAAATGGTGATTTGATGGATGGTCTATACCCACATTAATGCCATTAAAACATTGTTTTGCCCACATTAAACCTTAGATGTATATACGAACCAACTCAACAAATATTTGTGCAGCGTGTCTAAGATGGAGCCCACTTCCATTTCACGAGTGGTCACAAGTTGCAAGAACAGCACGCCGCTGAATGCTGGGCAGATGCTGTTGAAAACATTACTTTACATGGGTGCCGTAGGTTTTACGTGACATGTTCTACGTTTTTTTCTTGTAAAATTGATCAGATAATGATTTTTTGTGATGTTTGATAATTTAATATGATACGTTTTTTAGTCATACGCGATATGTCTAGTCTCCAATACGGATCCAAAATGCACCCGACGCCCATTTGGACCAGGGCATTGGAGGACTGTTCATGCCGGAGCAGTTGGATTTTCTGAACAAGGCGGCGATGGGAGAAATGCTAAACCGCTTGCGCCGCGCCTTCACGAAACAACATTTTTTTGCGGTGAAATTCATAAATTCATTGCAACTCCTGGGTTTGATATCTTAAATATGAATAAAGAACAAACATTAAACCCTCGGAGATGAGTTTCTGTTGGACATGACTAATCTCTCAGATGGAAAATAGCAGGACAAAGGTCGCCAATAGATGCCAATAGGCTGTGGGTTCACTTGAGGGGTTTCAGTCATTTTGCTCCCAATGCTTGTAGACCTTTGACAATGATGATATGTGACCTTTGACACTCGAATGATTCCGCAAGTGAGGATTGTAGACATTTGACAATGAAGATCTGTTGGAGTCGTCTATGGAATGCCCCGCAGGCGTGTTTGGGGCTTGTCATGACTGGCTTCGTTGGTGGTGCTGCAGTGATGCTACAGAACAGCCTGTCCACCTATTTGTGGCTCGGGTCGGTGAGTCAGCGACGCCGCAGATAGACACTTATAATTTCAAAGTGCATATATGCGTAGAGGCATAAACCTTTAAACAGTAGACCTGAGATAAACGAGAAATATAGATAGTGGTAGAGGTAGAGAGATAGAGAGAGGGAGATATATATATATATATATTTTATAGATTTGATTAGATTAGATAGACAGATAAGGTAGATTGACAGATAGATAGATGTAATAATGACAGTTTGGAACTTGTATTACAATGTATTGGTTAGATGTTTGGCACACATTTGGGAAGGTTAAGGATAGCCCCGAATCGTTTTGAGGCATCACATGCCCCGGTTGCCCAGGTTTTGCACGTTCGACCTGCATCTTTTTCCAGCTGTTTGAAACTGTAGGGATATGGATGCACACAACTTCAATATCTACCAATCCGTCATTTAGTTCGATGAATTTCCCAGCTAGTTCTAGCTGCATAAAAAGAATCACATTATCAGGAATTTTCAGTGCCAGATTTGATTACCAGAAAGGCCAGATATTTATATCCCGTGGCAGCCACCCAACAATAAACCATCCCCACTAGAGGTTTATGGCATTGGCTACACCCTGAAATCTGGGATGATGTAAACTGATCCCCAAATCGTTTTTTAATGGAATTATTTAATATTGGGTTTACCAAATTTTACCAAATTAGATATGTATACATATATTATTCATTTACATACTTTGCATACCACTATAGTCAATGATACATCTCTTTGTGCGTATATATCTATATACAGTATATATGTGTGTGTGTGTGCATATCTTTATACAGCAGCCCCAAAAAGAAGGAACGGTCGGAAACCTGAGAATATGTAGTAAATATATCATCTACAACAATCTGGAAGCACTTTTCAATTTGTTTGGAAGTTGCTCTATACATAAACACACACATATATATATACATATTAAATGCATTTGCATGTGCCCATGTAGGTGTATACGCATACTATACATATATATAATTATGTATGTATATGTATATAAAATTTATGTATATAATTACATGTGACATGTGTATTTATCTATGTTAGACATGCATGTTCAAATTTATGATAATTATGTGTGTAGTATCCTTCTCTCCCATTCCAAATGCCAGGATCAAACCCATACCTATACATGGGTTCTTCACTTCCGAATCGCTGAGGCAGGAAAACTTATCCTTGAACCTGCGGAAACTGACCTTTGAGAGCATCATTTGTTGCTGGGCAGAAGCTTATTCAAGTGGGTTGGGCCGTGGGGAAGACTGCAGATTTCTTCAAGCAGGTTCATCCAGAATCAAAATGGGTATGTGCAAAAACGGAGCTCCCCCAAAATGCAACCATCAAAACCGCATGTGCTCTATTAAAATGATGGAATATTATTACAACTTGGGGGTGTGCACCACCTTCAATCAAGCCTATATAAATCGACCATGCTAGAAAAGAAGTGCACTTTCCTGGCAGCAAAGTCTGAAAGGTGCCAATAGCTCAAGACCTACCATACTGCATTTGCTGCAGTCCATGGAAAGTGGGAGGGCAGATGGGGATTACTTGCCATCTGTCATCATGTTACTTCTCTTTTTGTTCATTCCCTGAAAGAGGTTTTCAACTGGATGTTCATCCCGCTTTGGAAGTAGCCAAACCGCGATAACAGGATCCAGTTCTACTTCGGTCGAGCGGTAAGCAGGTCGCCACATGCGTTTCCTGGGCTGCTACTCAAGCTGGGATATTTCATGATATTCTCCCCATTTAGGTCGTTGAGCATCACTGCAAACAGTGCTTAGAACAGTTCCAAGCCCTCAAACCTCGTGATGTGTATGAAGGACAGAAAAGGAAGTCACCGATTTTCATTTCAGAAGGATATGTGCCCAACAAAAACCATTGGAGCCGATGCGGGGTCGCCGCATGTTTTCCATATGATTCCTTGGTTCTTGTTGAGGATTTAGGGGATAAAACCATATAAAACCCAACTTTGATGGTTAAGAGTAGTTTAGACCAGTTTAGGCCCTAATTTTTAACCATTCTTGTTGGTCTCAACAAGCTGTGCAGATTTGGACATTGGCTTCTTTGATGCACCGGAAAATCAAGTGGGCAGTATCCTGGTGTCCCTGGAGAGGCCTGGTATCCAACAGCTTGACGATTGTCGCATCTTTTGACGTACCCTTTGGTAATTTGTTACATAGCTATTTAACATTGCCCATTTATAGCTGATTAACGTACAAAATGGTGATGTTCTATAGCTATCTTAGTTTACCAGAGGGTACAGGTGTAGATCTGAAATGACAAGAATATGGATGATGATGGTGATGATGATGATGACGATGATGATGATGATGGTGGTGATGACGATGATGATGATGATGACGACGATGATGATGATGATGACGATGATGATGATGATGACGATGATGATGATGATGATGATGATGATGATGATGATGATGATGATGACGATGATGATGATGATGATGATGATGATGATGATGATGATGATGACGATGACGATGACGATGACGATGATGATGATGACGACGATGATGATGACAATGATGATGATGATGATGATGATGACGACGATGATGATGACGATGATGATGATGGTGATGATGGTGATGACGATGATGATGACGATGACGATGATGATGACGACGATGATGATGACGATGATGATGATGACGACGTTGATGATGACGAGGATGATTATTATTGTTGTTATTTTGATGATCCTCATCATTAGTCATCAGTGTGCTACGTCAGGCACATGACCAGAGTGGCCCAAATGCTGGGAATCAACTTGGCAAACACAGTCGGTGGAGTGCTCACATGCCACTGGTCATAATGGGACTTTTGCTAGGGAAATCCTGTACATATATGATCACACTCACACACACACATATATATATATATACATACTTATACAGAGAGAGAGAGAGGCTTTTTCGTATATTACTGGGGAAAAACATGTATGACCTGGTTAAGATGTTTTGTCCTCTATGTTGTCCCGTAAATCCTTCCATTGAAAAGAGTCCAACCAGGGTTTTACCCCTGTGATAAATGTGGTGTCCCCCAGCTGTGTGTTAGTTGGTTATTTACAACTATAGCTGGGATGCGTATCCAAAAAGGAGTGTCACAGTTTGATCCGTTTGAAAGAGGACGTCTCTTTGTATCATGGATACTTACTGAGAGCAGAGCTAGCCGACCCCCAGAATCCATTGAGCTATCAGGATGTTAACAATTTGGGATCCACAATGATAGACTCAATAGTGATGCCGCTATTGGTGCCGGAACCTGGTTCGAATTTCATTGGTTGTGTGATGGTTTGTTACATAGCCCTCAACTTGTTGAGGAAATTACTGGGAGGCGCAGTTCTGGGCGACACCTTTTTTGTTGGTTGTATCATGTTGTATTCTTTTTCCGGTGGTGAATGTCCCCATGTTGCTTGGAAATTTCCCAGGGTCCCTTTTGTACCCATGCTGGATTCATTTTGATCCTTGAGCATTTGGAAACATCTGCATGAACTCTGGAGCCACTTGTAGCGACCATACGATGCCTGGACACACCCACCACTTCGACCTGGGTTGCGCTCTGCTAATTCAGCCAATTCGACTGGTAGTTACGCGGTTACAACTCAGCACTGCATGAGGTGGAACATTTCCAACCATGTTCCCAACAAACTGGGATGATGATCACGACTTTCAGGTTTTGAGCTGGCTCCTGCCCGGTCACATGGAGCCCTGAATCAATTTTTTTCTCCCTAATGACTACTATGGCGACTGGCTGAATGAGAGAATCATCCCACTTAGATTATAGTTTGTGGATGTTTGTGTTTTCTAACGGACAAGCCATTTAGGGGACTTGCTAACCAGTGTTACTAACCACTACTTGGAGTTTCAACCAATTTGTATTTTTTTTTTGGGGGGGGGTTATTAACTCACTTGAAATGGGAACACCCCATTTAACAACGGGTCCTACCATGTCTTGGCATTTACAAACCAGATCTAACCAGATTTGTTTTTGGATATAAAATATATGTATATATAATTATATATATATATGTATATGTACACCATGGATGTGATTGATTATCACCCACCATGATTTGTTGATGCTTTCCCGAAGTGTTTCCCTGCGGGTTTTCCACCAATTTTTGTAGGTTGACATGTCGGTTTTCCATGGAATCATGTCAATCAATAATCTTAAATCCCATCTCATGCAAAACATAATTAATCCAAATCCAAATAAATTCATAGATTCCCATTCCACAGTTCCACATCATCATTTTTTGACCCTGAAATCAGGGAGATCTTTCCCCTTGAATCTGGGATGCCTTGAGGCGTGATCTGCGTGATTTTCAGCTTCTTCGGGTCTTGGATCCTAGAGCCTCGGACGATGATTTTATGGTGGATTTTGAGAGTGATTTTGATGTCTCCATTTATAGGAATTTCATGGGGTTTAACATTTAACATGGGTTTTAATAGGATTTAACGGATTTTTATGGTGATTCATGGGATTTCACTAACCACCAGGATATGAAGTAGGATTTAGAACCGTTTAATGGGATGTTAGTTGTATACTCATGGGATTTCAAAGAATGTTTCACCCAAAAAATCATCCGGCCAATTCTGGTCATTTGTATTCATGTTCTCTGATTGCTATGTTTTCGTTATCGCCCTTTAAAAAAGTTCGAGGATTGATCTATTGCTTTCATGCTGATTTTCCATGGTGATGTTAATTCACCAGAGGGTACCTCTGCACTGCAGAAAGATGCATCAAGTCAATATCGCCACCCAAGGCCCCAAACATCCGCCACACTGCATAGAACACCTGCCATCACTTGACTGTTCAACATGACTTCATGGTTTTTGTTTGGTTTTAGTTTTTCTGTGTTCCCCTTCATGGAAAGCCGAGCCATTTTTCACGGTTCAAAGTTACAGCCCGGATCCCTTTGTTGCAGGCAGTAGCTCTGCTGATCATGATGCCCCTCTTCACTTTCATGGGGATCAAGGTCTCCGTGCTGGCCGGGCACCTCAGGGGGCAATTTCGAGGCCGCATCGGAATCGGCGCCAATCGGTGATTTTTTTCTGGCCACCCGTGGCGCAAATTTTGATTCGGGAAATTTGCACTAAACAAACTTGCCAATTCAAGGCATATACTGGATGGATAGAGAGAGGTGTTCCTAGTCAACGTGCAACTAGCAACACCCATAAATTGCATTAATAATGTGTCACGTTTCCTTTCGCAGCCCAGAATGAAGGAGACAAAACTGGTGGTAATTCCCAGTGTGATAAAACCCATGGAGCTCCTTGTGGTCAATCACCTGCCTCGATGGATATCATTGGAGACTTCAATATTTTCTGCCTATGACTGGGCCCAGTCATAGTTGGTGAATGGGATGGTTTATATCACATGAATATTCAATAATTGGTTGGCTGATTTCGCGCTCAACGGAATTGTTTGCAGTAAATCTTGCAGGAAAAACGGTACATCTCATGGTACACACCGTTTCTTGTTTGTAACATTTCTATATATACATTTCTCTTAAACCAATAGATTTACACATGGGTCATCGGTCTTTTCACCATGCCAATCCTTCAAAAAATCCTTCAACATACCTCCGTCCTATCCCCTTCGCATTCGCCTTGAGGCTCATATACCTTCCAAGAAGGCCGAGTTGGCTTACGCCGTCTCCGGGCAGACGACTACGGAGGCGGACGTCAGAGTCACCAAGTGGGATGCGCTGGGCGCTAGCCCTGCGATGATTTGGTAGACAGTTGGGTGGTTGTGCATACTTATGTAAAGTACATACACACACACACTCATATATATGTAATATAGTATACATACGTATGAGTGTATATATATATATATATTCTTGGTAAATTATGACGACCTCACTGCGACCTCACTGCGACCTCACTATAATATACTATAATCATAGTTAGTAAGGGAAATCATCCCAAAATGGCCCTAATTCAGGTTAGTGAAATATTATAATTTACTCATATATTAATATATATATGTATATATATATTATATATATTCATTATGCATATAGATGATTATAGATGTAGATAATCTCTTCACAGCTGTAGGCATACTTTTTGTGCAGCTTGTATTTTTGTTTGATCCAAAAACTGACCTGGTGCATCAGTAAAGATGCTGCAGAGGGAGGTGCATAGACTGGACCCATGGAGGGGAAAATTATGACGGATCGAGTAAAACCGTGATTTCTTGACAGGACATTTGCCCCATAAAATTCAGAATCATCAAGTTACATTGAGATGATCAACCTCCATTTATAGATGGTTTTCCCATTCTTGATGATTATAGATCATAAAACCTCCATTTATAGATGGTTTTCCCATGTTTTCCAATTAGCACATGACTTAACGACTCCATTTAGTTCCATGATGTTCCCAGCCAACTGGTAGGCAGCAACGCAAATCCGGACCGTCAGAGCTGCTTGACAGAAATAGCTCGGTTGATGGATGTCAAAAGTTTAGATATTTATGTGATGTTTATGTGGATTATGTGGATTATGCCCCAAAAAATATATCTTTCTTCAGCTTAAAGTGAGTTTGAACTCAGCCAGAGTTATTTTTGGCGTCAGCTTGGGTCATTTTGAACAGGGAGATCTCACTTGGCGTTCAGAAATGTTTCTATGAGTTGAGGCCTTGGGGGCGGAGAAGCAAATCTTGGAGATTTTGTCGGAATCTCTGCAAGTCCTCACGGATTTCAATGCCCCTCGGCCATCGGCCGGCCATCGGCGCCGGATTGAAATTGAAATGCTGTGAAATGTTAGGGGTGCACCCTGTACGTGCGCTCAACCCCAATAGTTCATGTAAGGGCAAATGAGAATATATTGATTATATTGTCTTTGTTTGCCAAGAGTTCCCGAAAAAAACTGGCATGCACATGCATGCACAGTTACATATTTAATGCTGAATGGTATATTATTGTTATATAAGCAATCACTGTAGATGTTATAATGCCATCCTTGAAGAATATCAAACCAGAAAATCATATCGGCTGCCAACATGGGGCCAGTACTAAGCCCAAAAAGGAGGTGGCCTCCAGTTAGAAGTTGTTTCATAACGCAATCATATAAATCCAATTAACTATAATATACTATAATAATAAATCATAAATCCAATTAACTATAGTATTTTTATGTATTTTTTTTATAATAGCCATAAAACCATAAAACCCTTGTTCTTGGAGTAAGCCAACTGACAAGCCGACTGACATCTGGGGGTTGTTCAGCACCCCAGGTCCGAACGGCCTGGAAGAAGGGCGCCGCCTTCGGGTTGACGACAGTCGCGTGGCGAATGAGGATTTTTTCTTTTACGTTTGGTAAATTACTTTGTTATTATTATATACACTCTGGTAAATTAACATAGACCCTGAAAACATCCAATTGTTAGTGAAAAGTAGTCTTTCAACCCCTGTCTGCCAGGTTCTATGTTAATTTACTGGAGGGTATTAGTATTATATATATATAACTATATGGTGGTTAGTAATTATTACCTATTATGGTAATTTTACCTATGGGGAATGATAGTTATTATGATGGTAATGATTATTAATTATATGATGGTTTGTAATTATTAACAATCATTATTAACAATAATTGCTATTAATATATACATGATAACGATATTAACCATCAATACCCTCTGGTAAATTAACTGTTTGACACTGAAAGGACATCTTCCAAGCCCTATCTGCAAGGGTCTATGTTAATTTACCAGAGGTTAATCTATTGGGGATTCTTCTTATCCATCATGGAAATCCCGATTTACCATTCTTTAGATATGATTTTCCAACATGTTTTTTCATTGAAATCATGCAAAACTATGGCGAGATAGACATGGATTTCCCCCGGTTGTGGGACCATACGACCATACCCTCTGCAAACACCTGATGGAGGACCCTCTGAGAGTGGTTCATGTGGGCCTGGCTGCGGTCAAACACCGAGGTGTTATTTGGAGCACTAGGTCACTAGGGATATCGGATATCAATGGATATCATGTTTTGCTTTTCCCTGTTGATCGCCATTGAAGTCACGGGGACCACTTGGAGTGAAAAACTCAGCTGCGGGATGCTGTACCCTTCCATGTTGAGATTGCTCTTTAGTTCCTGCAACATCAAAAAGAAGCCGTATTGCTTGATCATTTTTGAATGGATTCAATCCGGTCCAGACACAGAATGACACAATTGCTCAAAATTTACCTTCCTGACTTGCATAGAAGTGCCTAGGCCTAGGTGGATTTTGATGGATTTTGTCCTATCAAATGCTCCATGAGGCAGTGAAGTCAGGACATGGCCCCCCACCATCAAAGGACATATAGGTCTTAGGCAGACCATGGCAGATCTTAGATGCCCCGTTTAGGGACCTGAAATTGCCAGTGATTGTTGGGAACACCACATGGATACTGATGGGCAGCCAAGGTGTTGATTCAGGTGATGTACCTTGCAGGCGCGGCCAGCCTCTGAAGTCACCTGTGGCCACAGCAGTGTTCTGCAAGCATTTGACACGGGAAGCGTGTCCAAACCATTTCAGGAGGACAAGAAACGAATTTGGAGGATTGTTGTTGTTTTTCCTTTTTTTTGGCCTCCCTCACGCACACGGACGCAACCACACACACAGAGATGTAATATATACATACTATTTACATCAATGTTTCAATACAATATGTTATGTATATACATACATACACGCACACACACACATATATATATGATATAGATATAGTCGCACAATCGACATATGTATACACGTCTGCAGTTCCCCGATTATTTATGGGATGACGGCATACTTTCCCCAATCCTTACACCAAGTCTGTGAATCAGGCTTTTGGCTCAGCGCTGGCATGATTCAGTCTGGTCCTGAGGGCGAGCTGGGAAGAATCCAGGCACCACCTGTATCTTCTGTATCTCCAGGTTGGAAATGGCAGTTGTTCATCTTTGACTTGTAGGTTGTAGGTTCCATTTTTTCAAAGGTGTCTTGGTGATTCTGGGGATAAAGGCCAAAACTCTTGGGAGATCTTGGGAGTTTAAGCAAGTATGACGGTAATACAAGCATGCAGTACACACACATGTATATTGTGTACATGTTTGCACAATTAGTCTTTGCTGAACCGTGGGTGAACACATTTCCTGGCAATGTTTATTGAGGAAGTACTGTTGGCCAGCTCTTTTTTTTGGGTGGGGCATGTGACACAATTTCAGCTGAGAGATAAGAAAGCGATCAAACGATAAGCAGTTTTCACCTCTGTCCATCAGGTCAGGGTCAATTCACCGGAACTTTTTGATCTACACCCAGAGCCTATCCCAGATGTTTATAGATGTTTCTCATAATTGGTTGACGGTAAAATTGGATAACATGTGCGCTATATTCAAAAGGGGTAAACATGTTAAACATGAACCAATCCATTAAATCTTCGCGATTTTTCGTGGCTGGTTTCACCTGCTGGATCAACATGAAACCCATCGATTTTCCAAGGTCGGGAGCCTTCGACAGCAATCAAGTCTTGCTGACGCTTTTCTGTGTTGTCTTCGGCGTCATGTGGCCTGGCACGGTGTTTGAGCCAACAAAAATCCTTCGGAAAAGTCGCCAGAATTTGATAAGCGTTGAGGTTGGCATTTGACTGCACTATTATATTGTATATATGTATGTATATATATATATATGTATATATGTATATATGTATGTATAAATTGTATTGTATATTTATTCATTTTGGGGTCCCGGAGGTCTGGGATTCGAAGCTGCCGTTCACACCATCATTTTCCGACTGGGTTATCCCTCAAGTATTCTGAATGTCTACGTAGATTGCACAGAGTTCACGCCATGAATAACTGGTATAATTAATAGATTATAATCATGTATAATATGGTACACCATGGTGTACCACTGTATGGGTTTGTTTGAAAATAAAGCAATAATAGAGAGCTCCAAAAAAAACATGATTTTGATTCAGTGAAAACGTCGTTCTTCCACCTTCCAGTTTCTAAGTTGCTTTATCCCATGCTTGGACAAATCTATATTTTGTGGATTTCTCGGTTCAACGTCTGAAATATTCACCAACCACTTACTACTTGCCATTTATTTGCCAACTACTTGCCAACTACTTACTAGATATCTAGATTACCTTGGTAATTTCAACAGATTTAGTCCCCCTTCATTGTAAAAATGCGACCACTATTCTCACACCAAACTACATCAAACTATATTCCAAGGCCCTAAGAAGAATTTAACATGGACGTCCTTTTTCCATTGCTTCCTAGATATAGGGGTCCTCTCATACACATATACAATCATCAGTAGGTAGATAACAAATGTTTTATACCAAACAGGCCCCTGTAGCAGGTATGTTTTTCCAAAAGGACACTATCTGATTGGTGGTTTGGAACATTTTTTATTTTCCATAATATATGGGATAATCCTTCCCATTGACTAATATTTTTCAAGATGGTTAAAAGCACCAACCAGCTATTGACTCATACTGCTAGACTACGCGATGTCCCCTAATAGCCCAGTGCCTGATGTCGCGAGGTCGGTCAGCACGCTGTCGCAGTATTTGCCGGACTCGGCCTCGGGGCATTTGGCGGTGACGGAGGTCTTCCGCTTGATCGACCAGGCGGGGCCAAGGCACCCAATGGGACCTGAGGGGATATCAAATCCAGGTTGGTGGTTTGGAACATTTTTTATTTTCCCGAATAGTTGGGATGATGATCCAATCTGACTAATATTATTTTTCAGAGGGGTTGAAACCACCAACCAGTCAAGGAATTATCCCCTTTCTCGGTCTTGAAATGCTTCAGACTTGATTGTGGTGAAGTTAAAGACACACCTTGGTAACCGTATATAGCTACATTTTTTTTTTCCTACGGCACATCGCAAGCTCGGAGGTAAAATTTTCAGAGCAAGTTGTTTTCCTCACCTTTTCTTTACACCGCATATATATATATAATTATTTAATTCTGAATATGTATATATATATATCTACATTAATTATTGACTTTCCTTTCGCGGCTCTTGTGCCACTTTCAAAAAGTCGACCCGTCGTGCGAGTCGCATCTTGTCCGAAGGATTCAAAGATCAACTGCAAGAAACAGAAAGAGGGTGGCATAGAAAGCTTTGGCGATGGCAGCATCGTCTTCAAGGACAGGCCATTTTTATCTTCCCCCAATAGTTGTTGGGGTTGGCAGCTCTGTTTCTATATGTTTTGAAACAAGGACAGCTGCGACAACTGGGCCAGCAGGAAGTACCTTTGTTCCATCCACTGGTGAATCATCCTTACCTCATAGCTTTATCATAGGCTAGATCTTGGAAAGAAACCATCGGCCACCAAAATTGGTGCAGGATGTAAACTTTTGGTACCCACATCGGCCTGAAGTCAAAGTGCTGAAGCACGTGTCGTTCTCGGTGCAGAAAGGTCAGTCG